AGAAAGAAACTGACAGGGGAGGAGGGAGAAAGAAACTGACAGGGGAGGGGGGAGAAAGAAACTGACAGGGAGGTGGGGGGGAAAGAAACTAACAGGGGGGGAGACATTGACAGGGAGGGAAATTGACGGGGAGAGAGAAATTGACAGGGAGGGGTGAGTGACAGGGGAGGGAGGGGGAATGAGAGTAACAAGGGAGGGGGGGAGAAAAGAGTGACAAGGGAAGGGGGAGAGATTGACATTGACATCCATCACACACACACACACAATCACACACAATGCACCCCTTACACACAAAGACAATGAACCCCTTGCACACAGAAAAACACACAATGCATTACACACACAATGCAACCCTTACACACAATGCATCCCTTGCACACACAGAAACACACAATGCATTCCTTACACACACTCAATGCACCCCTTACAGACTCACACACTTTATCCCTTACATACACAGAAACACACCTTGCAGCCCTTACACATACAAACACAGATTCACACAATGCATTCCTTACACACAAATCAGGACATTCCCTACACACTCCATCCCCTGTGAACAAACTCATTGGTGGAAAATGAAGGTGGACCCTGGGACCCAGACCTTGAGCTGTGTAAAGGGCCCCCAAAAAATAGAGCTGCTTCTCGTTCTCCCAGAACATTGATTTGTGTGACCACAGTTACAAACAGCCTCCAGAGATCCTGTTATACACCAGACCAGTGGAGCCAAACTGCAGCTAGAGCCCATCATCATCCTCATCTGCTTGTAAGTAGGTAATCTAGTATATTATTCGTGGCTATAATCTCTAATTTACCTCACATTAAAGAAACACTATAGTCCCCAGAACCACTGCACCTTAATGTAGTGGTCCTGGTGTCTATAGCCTGTCCCTGCAGGCCTTTTAATGTAAACACAGCGGCACTGCAGCACTAGTGTTAGTTAACATGGCAGGTCATATGGGTGGGGCATTGCGATGTCACGGGGGGGAGGAGGGGGGCGTCAAACTTTACTTTTGCCTAGGGCGGCAAAAATCCTTGCACCGGCCCTGAATGGCACCCCTTCTATATTGGATTTTGTTGTACCTTTATATTTGAGGAGATCTTTTCTATTCACCTTTTTTACTTCCGTTCTTGATTTTTCTAATTTAACCTCCTCATATCCTTTTTCTAGGAACTCATGTTTTATCCGAGTTGATTGACTCTCATAGGTGTCAATATCAGTGCAATTACGCCTAATTCTTACAAATTGCCCTTTTGGTGCACTTTCAAACCACGGTGTGAAATGGCAACTTTCTCTCTCTATAAAACAATTAGCATCCACTGCTTTTAAATAGATTTTTCATCTTAATTTTGCAGTCCTCAATAAAAATACTCAAATCCAAAAATGACACTTCTTGTTGGCTCCAAGTACTTGTTAATTTAATGCCTCATGTATTGTCATTTAAGAAAACTAAAAATTCCTCTAAAATGTCCTTCCTTCCTTTCTAGATAAAAAAGATTTCATTTATGAACCGGACATAGGTGACCAAGTTCCCCTCCCAGCTATGTTGGCCATATGTAAACGTATTTTCCAAATAAGCCATAAATTAGCATAGCTGGGGGCAAACTGAGTCCCCATGCTCGTTCCATTAATCTGTAGGTAGAATTCTTCCTTAAACCAGAAAAAGTTGTGGTCAAGGATCAATATGATTCCTTCTAAAATAAATTCTAATTGTGTGGTTAAAAAATCAGAAAAAATGTTTAAAAAATATTCAACTGCTTTACACTCATACTCGTGGGGTATATTGCTGTAGAGTGCTGTGACATCACAGGGTACTAAAATGTAGCCTTCTTCCCATCTACACTGTTCTAAAAGATTCAACACCGCTATAGTGTCATTAATGTATGATTTTGTATATTGTACTAACGGTTGAAGGTGGGTGTCTATATATTGTGACAGTCTGCTAGAAATGGCATCTATACCTGCCACAATAGGTCTTCCTGGAGGTTTCTTTTTATCTTTGTGCACTTTGAGGAGGAAATAAAACACTGGGATTTAGTTATATGAAATATTTTTAAAAATCATATTCCTTTTTATTTAAAATCTCTAAGTCAAAACCTTTTTTAAAAAAAACTGGCAAACTTCTCGTGTACACTTGTACTCGGATATGTTTCCAGCTTCTTATACGTTTGTTCATCCATTAATATTCTTGTTGCCTCTTTGTTATAGAAATCTTTTGCCATCAGAACAATACCTTCTCCCTTATCGGCTGGTTTAATAATTAAATTATAATTTTCAGTTCCTTTAGGGCTTTCCTTTCTTGTATTGTTAAATTGTGATTAAAATTATCCTTTATCTTCAGTTTCTTAAATTCGCTCATTGCCATAGTTTCAAATGTGGTAATTTTCTCCAAAATCATTTGTTTAGGGAAGAACTTAGATCTTTCCTTTAAATTGGTATGATTAAATCTAGTTTCTTTTTCCAACAGTCTTTCTACGGGGTTCATAATAAAAACAATTCTTTAAACAAGGTATTTTTATTGATATAGTTTTTATGAGATCGGAATTTATTCCTTTTCTCCTTTCTTGGCCACACGGTAATAATCTTTATGATCCTGTAGTATGTAAGACTGATAATGTATTTTTTTTATTTCCCACCTATTGTATTATCTATATGGGGTGAGCATGAGATTATTCTGTGACATTTTTAAAAAAGGTTTTTGATTTGAAAATTCTAACTAAGAGTTTAAGAAGGAGTATGGCTGCTGGAACGTAATAAGAATCCAATGAAGAATGAAAAGAACGATACAATGTTGGGTGTGACAGGATTTGATACAATCGGTAAGCCAGAAAAAGAAGAATGAGGTTTGACATGCGAACCCGGGAGAGACTGAATGACGTCATATGCGGAAGTAACAACCAGACTAGAGCACTCAGAATGAGGTTTGAGACGCAATATATATTCCTTTCTGAACTTATATATAGGACATATATATAAAACATCTGCACTTATATATAAAACATCTATTACAAGAAGGGGAAAGTCGCCTAAACGGACATATCTGCTGATTCCACTTGAGCTAGGTTTATAGCTCAAGAATATGTGAATGGTTCCTTGTCTATTTTTTCATTTTACACTTGGTTTTAAGATTTTACACTATTAGATGACCCTATTTTTTAGCGGTACATTGTCAGTTATATTGTAAACACTCATCAACCGTTGTTTTTAGCTCAAGAATATGTGAGTGGCTCCTTATCTATTTTTCATTTTACACTTGGTTTTAAGATTTTACACTGTTAGATGTCCCTAATTTTTAGCGGTACATTGTCAGTTATATTGTAAACACTCATCAAACGTTGTTTTAAGGTATTTGCCTTAATTATTGTTTTAAAATAGTGCTACACCATACTTGGTATTAAATATAAAAAGTGTCAATCTGTTTGTTTGAAATTCAGACACATTCACCACATTTTGTCCATCTGGAAAAAATATGTGGTTAATGAATAGACCTGTCTGAATTGTATATGTTTTTTTGAAGTGTAATGATATGTAAATTGAGAAATTCCTCTATGACTACCTTTTTAGGTCTATACATGTTAAACAAAGAGCACAGGTTCGGAATAAGCAGTTGTTGGGACAATTTTGTTATTAGCACCAGGGAATCAGGCCTATGGCTCTTAAAAATCTTTAGTCCCTTTAATACTTTTTACATCTTCTCACTCTAGATGGGTATGCAGAGGGAAATTGTTTGTGTAAAAAATAATATATCTTTTCAGGATTGGGTTGTATGTGTGTGTGTGTGTGTGTCGCCCTCAAATTATACAGGGGTTAATAAAAATGAGAACATACAATTTTGGCTGTGTTGAGGATTTGTTGCCTCTGGATAAATATGGGGTGATAGGCATGTATAGTGTGTTGGCCATATTTTATTTGACAGATATGTTTTTTTTTTATTATACTCCCTACAGATCTTGTGTAGAGATGCTAAATGTTCTTTGATCTGAGTGGTTGGGTGTGTTTCATGTTGGGCATCCACTCTTTGAATTCCATTTTTTCCAGTGCTGAGACAGACTCTGCTTCTCATCAGCATTGAGGAGTTATGGTGCTTGCACAATTGCTGCTGTTTGCTGATCCAATGCTTTACTATGAGAATGATTTACTTTGGCCTTTAACTATAGTTAGACTCTAGTGATACTAGAATACTAGAAACATTCTAAGTTCAGCACTTTTATACACATAAACTTGAGTGGACATGTTATTAATCCCAAGGAAGCTCAAGAGCTTTAGTGGATGGAGGCTCCCTTAAAAAATATTTCAGATCTGCCTTAATATCCTGATGGAAATCTTATAATAGATTGCTCAATTGTGGAAGTGAAAAGCCCAATATTTGCATTCTTAGAGCTCCTGGAAGGGATCCTAGAACTGTCATTCACTTCCTCTAAGTAAACTACTTCTTTGTGTAAGAAGCAGTATAGCTGTGTTAGGCTTTATAGCTGGATGGGTGTCTTCCATTCTGGAATTTCAGTGAGACTGTTCCTTAGAAATAATTTTGGGGTACATATCCACCTCGGATTATGGTTAGGCATCCCCCAAATTACATATAACTTAAATATATATGAAGGCATGAAAATAATTCCTTCTTGATTCATTTTTTATTTTACATTGCTTAAAAAAGCAAACCCCCAAAACAAATTAATAATTACATTTCTTATTGTATTTCGTTTTAGTTTAACATTTTCTGAAAAAACAAAATCAATCATTATTATGTACACAGATATTGTAAACATTTAAATAAACGTACATGATGTTAAGTGGTGTGTCATATTAAGCCCCCATGTGTCACAGGGACCAGAACTTTAACGTTTGGTTATGTTTATGAAAATAATGGATTTCTCTTTCATTTTAAAAGGTAATTCATAGAAATCCACAAAACTATAGATAACAAAGATTGCTGCTTCTTATGGATTTTCAGTAGTGAGGATTGAGATGTATCTTCTACCCCATGATACAATGCTTCATCTCACACATAGACCTCGGGTTAATATTGTTGGGTACGCTTTTTACATTATTTAATAATTTTTGGTTACACTTTTAGAATGATTTAATACTTTTGTAATAGTTTGCTATTTCTTAAAATATATTGATATATTTCCTATATACGATATACTTTTTTTAAAAGTTTATCCATAAATAATAAATCCTTTGAAAAGCTATTATATTTTTATATACTAAATCAAGATCATAATATGGAGTAGTGAAGAATCTTGATGGCAAGCACATGAGGGTTGTAAACTTTCTTTTCTAATGTAATAAGTAGTGAGTTTCAGATGTTCCTTGGCTTTAGTGCACTCTTGAACCAGTTCAGTACAGCCACTTTATTTCCATTCACCCATTTGATGTTTGCTTGTGTCTTTTCTATGGCTTGATCCAGAGCTCGAGCAGCTGTCCCAAGATCCGGGGTTTGACTTTTGAACAGCATGAGCTAAAAAAAAAAAAAAGAAAAAAAACAGCACGGTTGTTGATTTGTTTTAATTTTCGTAAATGTATTTAGATATAAAGATATTAGGTTACCGAAGTACTCAATAAGCAAGAGATTGCAAGGAGAACTGTCACTTTAAGAGGGAAAAGTCTCCTTATTCCAAATGTGTCAAACAGGTAGGACGTTCCAAAGGTAAGTTCAGACAGGAGAGAGGAAGATCCATGAGGCATAAGTTCAAAGTCAAAGACAGGCAGGGGTCAGTACATGGATAGACAATAACTGTAGGCAAAATATTGCCTAATAATAATCTTTATGTTCCTGTAGTATGTAAGACTGATAATGTATTTTTTTTTATTTCCCACCTATTGTATTATCTATATGGGGTGAGCATGAGATTGCCTAATTGCTATGACTGGTAACACCTAGAAACTCACAAGACATCTAAGCAGTGAGCTTTGGGGCAGACATTGAGGTTGTACTCTCAAGGTGGGACTATTTTACAGGGGTTGGCACTCTCACTTTGCATATATCAATCTTCCCTCTCCTCAGCGAAGGTACCATATTGGGCTTTCCAGTTCATCTTACTGGCTCCCTTGTACCACCCTCAGCTACTGCAGGGTTTTGGCTAAGTCCTCAGGGTCTCTGGCATTCATATGAGGATTGGGCACAACAGTGTAAGGGGCACCATGTAAGATGCCGCATGGGTCTCCATGCAATGTGCAGCCCGGTGAATAGTCCCAGTGTGCACCCTACTCCTGGTGTGCCATGATATATTGGGTCTTTCTGACTCAATTTTTTTTTTGTTTTTTGTTTGGATGATTAGGAGAGAAGACCTCTCCAGTCCTGTTACTTCCTTGTTTGTTTAGATCAATTGAGCTAAACTCAAGAGGCAGCAAGAACCTTCCTTCCAAAGACTTCTCATTGAGCTGCATTTGGAAGTCTTTGATTGGACAGTCACAGAAAGTCTGGGTGGGGTTAGAAGAGGAGGGCTACCAAATACTTCAGACAACAGATCTGTAGCTTTTACAAACTGTTTTAAGGTATAACCCCGAAGAAAAAAATATATAATTAAATGCATGCATGTTTACATCAAGGTTATATCTACTAAAGAGTTAGTTTTCTTTTTTCATATTTGGGTAATGGAGTGTCCCTTTAACATTCAGACAAATATTCACATTTCTTACCTGTTCAAGTTCAAAGTCAGAAGAAAAGCGTCGAGACAACCGTTCAATCACGTTACCAAAGGAAAAAGAGCTCCCTCCAAAGCTACAAGAAAAAATACATCCAAAAGTAAATAAAAAAATAATGTAACAAGTGCTTATTCAAGTGTCCAGCATTTAATTCAAATCATATATTAGTTGATGAACCAAGAAGCTATGGTGGCTTGGAAAAAGAGATACCTAGATTTGAACCTGAATGTTTCATATTCTCCTATTTTTGTCAACAATTTACAATATTCTTATACATATGTTTGTGACTATACACCTATCAAACTTATTCACGAAACTGTGAATTATCAATAAGTGACCTGAGAATTGCACATACTTCAATTCTACTATTTTGGACAAATATCGTAAATCCAATTATTAGTTCATGGTGCAATGAATGATTTGAATTCTCCCACATCTGTAGCTTGTAATTCTTTGAAAGACATGTAAATTAAACAAATACTAGCTAAAAAAACAAAACAAAAAAACAAGCTGAGGGTAACAGAAACAAGTGGGGCGTACGCTATGCAAAAAGCATGGGGACATCTGACCATCACACATAAATGGAGTTGCTTCATCACCTTTTCCCAACTGTTCTGGGAAGGCTTCCCACAAGATTTGGGATTGTGTCTGTGGGAATGCAAGTGTGTTCAACTAAATCAGCATTTATGAGGACAAACAATGATTTTGGACGAGAAGGTCTGCATAGTAATCAGTGCTCCAATTCATAACAAAGTGTGCAATGGGCTTAATTTGAAAACTCTATACAAGCTACTTGAGGTCCTCCACACCAAACATGTCAAACCATGTGTTCATGAGCCACACTATGTGCACAGGGACACCGTAATGCTGAAACAGGTAAGGGCCTTCGCCAAACTGCCTTTGTATCCCGGTAGCATAAAATTACTGTTTTGTTCCTTGTTTACCTCTGTTCAATCCTGCTCTTGATATGCTTATTTGCTGATTCCTGAATGTTGAATGTTGTATTGTTGTAAGTTGTATGTTTCAATGTTTTATTGAAATTTCAAAACAATCAAAACTTTAACTTCAAAAGATGAATCTTCAAGAGTTACAAAATGAGTTGGAAAAAGCTTACCACTAATGGCAACCTAATTGAGAACTAACATTGTATCAATATGAGAGCTCTCCACTCAGGATTACCCGGTTTGGATTAAAGGCAATCTGAAAACCAAAGACAAGTAAAAGACACTTACTATTGGAATATGGTAATCCAATTGGCTCTCACAAAGTCCCAAGCAAGATTCTGTCCTATCACGTTACTGGAAATGCTGCTAATGGTGGAGATTGCATCCTGTCTGCGAATCTTATTGGTGTCCAGTGAATATTCCAGGAGTCTGTAGGAAAGGACTTATTTAAAAACTGTAGGCTGGTCCAAAGATTCCACGACCATTAACATAACGTAATACAGAATGGTCAAGCATCATAGCGTTAATAAGCAATGAACAGTAGGCACCTATCAGCAATAGATGTCCCCTTCCACTATTCTTTTATATTTAAGGTGTCCATATTCTGTCTTTATATTTAATGTGCTACATACTATAATACTCTATATGGACCTTTTGTAGCCTTTTTGCTCTAAATATTTTTCCTATTATAAATATATCCTTTTTAAACTCACAAGGAGCTGAAAAAAGTTCATATATGAAAAGAGCTTTAATAAGATCTTAGGGCAGTTGGCACCAACAAACATAGGGCTATGTGATTGGTTATATTCATATCTGTAATATCACCTTTGAATGCAGTGTTCCCAAAGCAGGGTTAAACATAAGGTGACCTTGTGTGGCTGACTAGGTCCCAGGCGAAATGCAAGGGTGCTGGAATCCTGAATTTGGCTCCATTCACAATGTCTAAGTGCAGAATGGGGGCGTGACCCCAAACCAGTAACCTGCCAAGGGCACTGTGGGTATTAATGTCCTTTCATGCAATTATGAAATCAAAACCAGGACTTGACAGGTCAGCTGATCAGCTGCAACCCGTGCACACTATGAAGATGAGCACTTTGCTTCTAGGTGTCTTTGCAAGGACTAATGATGGAGATCCCATTCTCAGGAGGAGGCGTCTTAAACATAAATAGATGAATACAACAAAAGGAATTTTTAAATGAAAAAAAGTTTAATGAAAGGGAACAACTCAAATATTTGAGCTTCTTTTTTTTTGTCACTCTGTATTTTATTGAGGTAAATTGCACAGTACAAAATAAAATATGTGTAATGCTCAAGCATAGACAAGTGGTTCAAGATATTGCAATACATTCAGTAGTACACACCTCATTTTATATATAAGAACACAAGAGAGAAAATAAGAATACTAGCACTTGCTAGGTTAGGCAAAGGTATGGAAAGTGGTATGTGACATGTGAGGTCTGGTGATCAGCTTGGGTTTGCACGGTAGGCATCACATTATAGGAATATCTATCCTTTCCTGTTTCTGACCAGCTCAAATCAGCACCCCATTACCCTGGGGTGTAAGGGGTGGAGAGGGTTGTATTAAAGGCGCAAATGGCCATCGTGCGTTGCTGAGGTGAGAGACATTGAGTGTTCCTCACTAGTGGAGGTCATGCCTTTAAGAAATGCTAAAATAGGAACAGATAAGTAATAAAGCAAAAGGGTAATGAGCTAAAGAACAACATGTAACATGGGGAACTGCATCAGTAGTTAAACGTCCTGGATTAACACAGGGCTATCAGGATACCCATTCACCCATTGCCTGGTGCGTTCCTGGGCATGAATGGCATCACGTTTTTAATGTTCCATTGTGGAGATGAGTTGAGGGTGAATGCTGGGGCTAGTTGGTCCGGCAGACCGAGTGCCTGGAAGAATCAGGTCTTCATAGAAAGACAGATTTTAGCTTTCAAAGTCCAGTGGTTGTCTGTCTTGGACAGACAGCACTGCCCATTTGTCAGCAAGAGAGCGAAATGTCACAATCATGTCTTTCAGAGGAGCTTTCGTGGGACCGCGGGAACGGCCCTTCGGTATATCCCTTCAAGGAGCATCAATTTCACCTGCTTAGGTGGCAGTAGGGAGGACAGTAAGCATCTGATGCACTGAGGCAGTTCTGCAGTGCAAATGTCGCTGCAAACCCCCCTGATCTTCAGGTTTCGACGGCGCAGGGTGTCTTCCAGACCTGCTACCCAGTGGCTGAGTGTTACATGTTGATGTGTGAGCTGCTGGGTGAGTAGGGCAGTGTCGAGTTGAGTCTGACAGGCTGTCACAGATTCATCTTCCACTGATTTTATACGACCGGAGAGGGTATGCACATCCTCCTGGATCAGTGCGCAGTCAGCTTGGAACACTGTGCGGAGCTCATTCAGGAGATGTTTCAGGTCGCCCTTGGGACACTGTCTTCAACTACCTTTGTTATCCGTCAGACGTGGCCCTGGCTTCTGGGATTGGGTCTGGAGCATCATACTCCAGATCTCCCGAGGAGCAGGAAGGTATTCTTCGCGGCGGGGCCGCCATCTTGGGTTGCGGGCTAGTGCAGAACAGATGCCCAATATCACGGGATCCCTCACTCCTTTCTGACCAGGACTTGCAGGTCTTTTTCCCCATGTTGGCCGAAGGTGGTAGGTATCGCCAGGGCTCCATTTCGGGCTCTCTGCTCATCTTAAAATGGGCTCAAATCAGCTTATCTCCTGGAGCTCATAGGGAATGTGACTTAGCATGATGGCTGCTAGCTCAGCCCCTCCTATATTTGAGCTTCTTAAGTGGGATGATGTGTGTAGGATTTACAGATAGGGGGTAGAAGTAACAAATGTGACCGGACCCAGACAATGAAATAGAGATGGAGTATAATCAGAAATAGGACAGAGGACACAAAAGATTAAGAGCTGGAGAAATTTACAAGTGGCACAGGGACAGATATGGATTACAAGGGACAGATATGGATTCACGAATTGGACAAATAGATAGGGGCACAAACAAAAAGATACTCACTGGTTGAGTATCCATGGCTCTTTGGCGCAGGCTAAAGCAGCCCTCAGCTTGTCTGATTCTTGTGCATTGTCTGATGCTTCAAATTGTCCCCATATAAAATTCCATGCCTCTTCTCCTCCCTGAGCCACCGCAGTACAGTAAATGGATGATCTCAAATTTGGATGAATACTATCAGACAAAATCAAACATAATACATTGGTTAGAAACATTCAAATATATCTACTAACCTGCTACAGTTTCAACATGGAAAAAAGTAAGAACAGCTCAAAATTAGTACATCTCTATGGCACAGTGCAAGCTTTGTCATATATTGGTGCAGTTGGTAGGCTACATAGGTGGGGGGTTTTAAGTGATCTTTTTTTTTTACCACTATTTTCCCTCATTTTTAAAAAAAGTTTTTTTTTTTATTTACTTTAACTTTTTTTATACATATAAAATATTGATTAAATATTGTGTAGATATTGATTACTTTTTCTTATGGGAAAAATGAACTTTAGTTAAAGGAACACTAGAGCGTTAGGAATACAAATGTGTATTGCTAACATTATAATGCACTAGTGGCCCTTTAGGGGACTTACTTTGCAGCACCGGATCCCGGTCCTTTTTGCATGCCTTCTCGGCTGAGATCATGAATAATCTCAACCATTCCAATGCTTTCCCATAGTAAAACATTGGGAAGCTAGTGTGCATGCGCGGCAAAACACTGTGCTGTGCCCATCAGATGGTCTCTATAAGACCCTCTAGTGTATGAGTGACATTGTTGAATATAGTTAATGAAACAGAAAGAAGAAAAAAGAGTAATAAATAAGAAAGGGAGGAAGAGAAAAAATAAGAAAGAAAGAATGAAAGCAAGGCAAATAGAGAGATAATTTTCAGAGTGTCTTTAATATTCCTGATGACAGCATGGAAATTATGTGATCCCTAACAGATTATTGTCACCATCGGTCCTTCAGTGACATGTACTGCTTGGAACAGCTGCTACGCGGAAGATAAACATACCCATTAATGTTAGTATTCTTCCATTCATTAAAGAGTTTTGTTGCCAATTCAGTACATTCCGGAATGCCATAGCTACATGCAGTGCTCACAGTGTTTATTTCATTATATCTGCAAAGGAAAAATAAAATCAGTAACTAGATATACAATTACTTACTAAAACAAATATCTCCACTAAAATTATGGAATATTCTGGCATCTGCGGTAATCTGCAAGTAACCTTCAGTACAAGTCATATGTTGTTCATGCCCTGTGTTAAATACCAGGGTCACTTGCTGAGTGAGCATCACAGGAGGAATTCTACTTATGTGTGGGTGTGTTTTGATGGGGGTTTCCAAAGAGTCTCAGGGACAGAGGAAAACAGTGAGATAGGAGGTGATGTGATTAAATATTCTTCTAAGGAGTTCCCCTATTGCTCTAAATTATCCAGACTTTATCCAGACTTTGCATGTATTTGTTCTAGCAGAGTGGCACAGATCTAAATTGGCATTCTTTCTCTTATCCTCCTGTTCACTCATTACTGACACAGTGCCAGAATATGATGCCATATCCAAGGACTTTGTCGCCATAAAGCCAGAATTGAGGTGATGCTGAAACACAGAAAAGGAGAGGTGCTGATAGAGGCACATATCTCTCATTCCAAGGAGGCTATATATGGGGATCTGTGTCGCATCACCTGGAGATGTAGACTTAGTCAAGAGGGCATCGTCTTAAATTAGAGGGGCAAACATTTAGAAATATTATCAGGAAGTATTACTTAATGAGAGGGTAGTGGATGCATGGAATAGCCTTCCAGCTGAAGTGGTAGAAGTTAACACAGTGAAGCATGCCTTGGATAGGCATAATGCTATCCTAGATATAAGAGACTAATGGAAGTATTAAGAAAATTGGGTAGACTAGATGAGCTGATCTTATCTACTGTCACATGTTAAAGCACTGAGTGGGCTATTCTCTACACATGTATTCCAAGTTCTGAATGGTATGACTGAAAATAATGGAATGTCAATACTGGATATTAGAAGTACCTGCTGCAATCAGTCATTATTTAGTCTACCTCAATACAAAAAGAAAGCGTCCCGACCCTCCTTCTCCTACAGAGCGCCGCAATTGTGGAACAACCTCATACAGACTTTAAAATCTTCCCCAAGCCTAAAGTCCTTTAAAAGATCCCTCTCTACAAACCTCAAAACAGAATGCACCTGTCATGGTTGATTATATATTTCCTACCTGTTTTATGGTAAATTTTGTATATATTGTGTATTAATATTGTTTTTGTATTTTATTGTACCCTATTGTATCAATGCAATCAATGTTTTCTGGATCCAGGACATACTTGAAAACGAGAGAAATCTCAATGTATCTCTCCTGGTAAAATATTTGATAAATAAATAAATAAAATAAATTATGCTCCAACTTACTGGTCTGTTAACGATTCTAATCGTACAGTAAAATTTACAGTCATGGTTTCAAAGTGCTTAAACACTGGGTAGATCTGTTGCTTCATGTATTCCTGTAGAAAGCAGAACATTCCATCAGAGAAAATTTGCTAAAAGTGTAAAACTATAAATTTATTTTCTAATGATAAGATGTTACTGGGAAAATTCTGCCCGATCACAGCTGTGTTTGTGATTATCAGAGTTACGATAAAATGATTACCCTCATTGGTCCGTACACCTCCGAGCGATCAAACATCTGCGTAAAGAAATTCAGATTGCTCAGTGCGGCCTGCCAAGGCATGTATTCAAAGTCACTAGAGAGGTACTTGGTGGTGTCTAAAGCCCTTGTTGTGTTGATATACATTGCTCTGAAACACATTTGAAATACATATAGTTTACTTAATGAAGATAAACACATACCTTGAATATCCAATTTCTAAACAATGCAGAAAAATCTTATTGCAATGTAATCAAAGAGAAAAGTCAACGTGTGCTAAATTGAATTTTATAATTACACCCTAACACTCCCAATAACACACCAAAAAGACTCCTATGTTCATATAAGGGAGGTCTAAATCCTCCCTATGCTCACACCTGCCATGCAGCAGATGAGGGCATGTCTGCTAAATGTTTTAAACCAGTGACTCGGCAGCTATCGCTACCCAATCACTAGAATAGCCTGTGAAAAAAACCTGCTCTTGCCTGTGGGCATTGGGTGGGGGACATTAAAAATAATAATGGGGAGGGCAGATCTGAAGACTAATGGGAAGCAAATTTGTTTAATATATATTCGTTTTATTATTCCCTCACTTTTATTAGGGTGAGGTGACAGGTATGGTCCATTGGGGACAATGGCATGTCCACCACTACATTGTTTTATTATTTACTTTTAAGAAGTCCAACTTGCTGCCCTTGTTTGGGGGCTGGGGGACATTAGAGCCCCAACCCATTACCAATGGGTGCTAGCTGGACATTAGGTGCTCCCTCTTTAATATTGTAGCTAAGGGAATGGGTGGGGGCAAGGGAGTGGGCATTGGGTTGCCAATTTTTGATAATGCCAATTTTTGATGTTCATAGGTGCAGGCATGGGGTGCTACGTCCACGCCCAGCTATTTCACAGGCCCTATACCATGGGACAATGGCTGCTCAGTTGCTAGTTTTAGACTTTTAACAGATATGCCCACATGTACAACATGGGCCCAGATTGCAGCATTCAGTTTGAATTTAAGATTTCACTTTACAATTTGTCAGTGGCTGCACATAGGCAAAATTGGAAAACACAGAGCATGCATAAGCTGCAGCTCAAAGTGAAGTCAACAATGCCTCTATTCAATGTGGAAGTAGTCATGGGGCTTACATCACTCGACCCGGCTTCCGTTGTTATTGCTGCTACTAAAAATTCAGTGTTTGTGTGCAGTTCATAAAAGTCAACATCACTTCAATTTGCTACATTTAACTGGCAGTTCTTGATGTAGCTCACCTGGCCAAATTAAAGGCATCATCAATAATCTGGGCACGGTTAATGACAGGAATTATCTGTAAAACAATGTAGAGATTTTTTTTGAAGCATTAGCCTTTTCTTTACTGAAGCCTAACATATACACTTTTTTTTTCCTGGCAGACTATTCAATCATAGTCTATCATGTGAGCTGGCAAATGAAATCAATGCACTATGGTGTAATATTAAATAGAACATCTTTCACTTATGGATTCTATACTGTATTTGATCATGATAATGGAAGTGCACACAGTTGGGTGCTTTATATAAATGTTACAACAGCAGTATCATGGTTTGGTGAAGCAATGATTTAGACATCGTCTTTTAGACAGGTTTAGCTGAAGTGCAGTAATGTAATATAATTTCTTGGGGAAACAATCAAATAAGTTAATTATGCGCACACTGCATGCATACTCAAAATACATTTCTTAGAAGGCTAGTTCGTCTAATGAATAGGAGTAAAAAGCATTTGACAATTTGGCAATGGCTTGTTAAAGTTTAATATGTTATAACGTATAGTCATAGTAGTCATAGTCATAGTCATAGTATACTCACTGAATGATCTGCCTCCAGTTGTGCAATGAGCTTGTCCCAGTTTCCTTCATCATAATTAACTCTGTAGTATCCTGTTACATTGATGTTTGCTAGAAGCCATTCATTTTCAGCCAACTTAAAATCATTGTTTGTCTCTAACCATGAGAAATATTTGGAAAGCAATGTTAAATACAACTCACTCTATCTAATAGGTTATAATCTATTGTTTACTTGTAATTTATATTAGTATAACTGCTAACAGGTAATGTTTCTTTATCTCACTCTATTTCACCCAATAAACAATAATTAATAAATACATTGCTTTGAATGTGCTAGATTATTCTAGAAACACATTTTATCTATTTAAGCTACAGCCCTGGTAAAATGTAAACCTCATTTAAAACTGATTTATTAACTTGCATCAAATTTGAATCTATCATAAATGTTTACAACAAATTTTACTTGTGCTTACCTATTTACAGTTTTACAGAATATGATTACTTTTAATGTATTGTAATATAATATGCTTGAACATATAGTTTAACTTCTCATGTAATTCTCTGTTATGTAGAATGTATTTTTTCATGGTATATCTCAGTAATAAAATATCCAGTTCTCCTAAGAGGTGCAGTTTTCTGTTTAAGAGGTCCCTAGCATCCCACTGTCAAGTTGTTGTCAGACTAAATGTCTCTCAATAATCCATTGTTTTACAAGGCCAAGTGCTCTCTTAGCACAAAGTATACATATAGTAATAATGGTTGTAATTTCTAAGTACTAGCCTTTACTTCCATCAATTTCTAACTACTACCTGTGTTACTCTGCACCAAATAAAAAAAAAAAAATAGTTTTTCCTTTTAAATGGGATACATAAGGGAAAGGCAAATTTATGGACTGGGAAGTAATAAAAATAAGAAATAATAATACAAACACACATTTTTTTTTGTATTCTATCCCTACTAAAAGACAACTTTACTTATTTTTTTTACAAATATGATTGGGTTATTTTTAATGTTAATAAAGTAAATTATACCTGAAGGTCCTTGGAGCCAGTATTTTCCTGGAGATGCATTTTTAGTGTATGAAATTGGTACAATCCAATTATAACTGTAAAAGAATTGACAAACAATGCATTACAGTATTGTCAGTAATGTCAATGCAGGCCATTTAACACTTTCTGGAGACTTTGGCTGGTGCTACATGGTAAATAGAATACTGTCTTTAAATAAGGATCAAATAATCTGTCTCTGTTTCTCCCATATATACATTATTTTACTGTTTAAATAAACACTTCTCTCACATCCCTCTTGTACATAAATGCATCTCTTCTCCATGTACAATAAAACAAGAATGGTGTTCCATAACCTATTTTTTTTAACAATTTTTTTTTTTGTCCAAGCAAGACAACAATGTTCTCTCTTCTACATACTTAAAGTCTGATGGACGAGTGACATTGGAGTCTGGGTCTAAGAGGAAGTGCTTCTGAGTTACGAGTCCATTTTTTGTATCGAATGTCACTACTGGGAATCCCATCTGTAAAACCCATGTATCCATGATCTCAGCCACTGACTGAGGCAGATTAATGGATGGCACAGCCTTATCCACTGCCTAGGAAGAAGAATTATAAATAATACATATAAAAGTATTTTAAATAGAAGTAAATTTGGCATATAGACAATTTGATTGTAATTATAGGCAGTAAATGAATGATTCTGGGAAAAAAATATTAATGTTTATTTCACTAGATAGCACCTATCCAGCTGTGGAACTCTAGTCACGTGGATTGATGTGTTTTAGATATCTTCAGAGAAGCTTCTCAAGAGGTGACATTTTCACTGGTTGTTAGGAGTGGTGGAATCAGGTGTCATAGAGTATAGTGAATTTACACTTTTATGTTTCTTGGTATTCGAATAAGGAGTGGTATGATTGAAAGTGCATAATTATTAGTCATCATATCAGTTTATGTAATCTAAATTCCTAAACTGCCAACATTTCAGATGTTTTTACTGTTCAATTAATATTTAATATCACAGGGACATTATAAGCACCCAAACAAGTTTATCCTAATAGAGTGGTTTTGGTGTATAGAGCATGCCAATGCAGTCTCACTGCTTAGTTCTATGTCATTTAGGAGTTAAATAACTTTGTATATGTATCCCTACCCACACCTCTCCTGCATGTGACTTACACAGTCTCCCTAGACATTTCCTGTAAAATAGATCTAATGTTTAAACTTCCTTTATTGCATAGTTCAAGATAAAAATGTTTTATCTCCTGCTCTGCTCTGTTAACAGCCTGCTAGAGCCTACAGGAACCTCCTGTGTTTGATTAAAGTTCAATTAACAGAGCATGAGTTAAAAACTTCTAAAGTGAACACACTATGCAGAGTGAAAATGAAACAATTTTTTTAATGTAAACTGTGTGAATCATAGCCATGGGAGGTGTAGCTACCTACCTTAATAGAAGTAAAAGTGGTTTAACTCCAAAAAAGGAAGATAATTGGGCACTAAGACTACAGGGGCATGAGGTATACACTATAACTGCTTCTTAAGCCTAAAGTTATTTTGGTGCATATAGTATCCCTTTAATTCAAATTAGTGAACAGCCTTGCCTTTTCATGAATCCGCAATAAAAAGGAATCTTGACAAGTTGCTCACTAAGTCTACTGATATCTGAAGATATCAGCTGTGATTAGTAAGAAAGCAAAGTCACTTTTTTGTTTGTCTGAAAACTATAGTCTTTGATGAGGTTAATAGCAAAACAGGTTAAATGGCTTTGTTAGCCACTTGCTAATGATCGTTAAAAGCAGTGCCGGAACTACAGCGGTCGCAGGGGTCGCAGCTGCGACCGGGGCCGTTACTCCAGGGGGCCTGGTCACCCTGCAGACCCCTGTGACGCCGGTGCCCGCCGGCTAAGTAACGTGGTCCCGGCCCGTGCGGTACAACCGCCTGGGCCGTATTGAAGGGGCCCATCGGGTGGCCCATGCTGTTCGGGCCACCCGATGGCAATGAATTTCCAGGGAGCCCAGGCAGCGCTGTGGCGATTTAACAGTACGACCGGGCCCCCTTTGATGACATCACAAATGGGAGGAAGTGACAGCCGTGGGAACTTACACCGGGAACCGCGCGGGAGGAAGGAGAGGAGGGAGTCAAAGTGGAAAATCTGACTCCCATCAGGCTGGACCCCAGGGAAGTCACTCTCCTGCATCTAAAAGGTAGGATCAGGAGGGTGACTAAAACATTTTGTATATGTCTCTGTATGAATGTTTCTCTGTATGTGTGTCTGTATCTCTGTGTGTATGTCTATGTGTGTCTCTATGTATGTGTGTGTCTGCATGTATATCTGGTTGTCTGGGGGGTCGTATGGGAGTTAGGGATAGATGTATGAAGGGGTTGCGGGGCCTGGGACGTGTGGGAGAATAGATGTATGAGGGAGGGCCCAGGGCAATTTTCGAACCGGAGCTCCGTGATTTCTAGTTACACCTCTGTTTAAAAGGATAGGCCCCTAGATTCATGCCTAACTTTCAAGAAATGGTATTAATGAGAACGGTGGCAACTTCTATGAGTTGGCTTGTCATTACACAAGATTATTATTCCTTTTAAGGCAATCTTGCTTTTGAAAGTTTAGCTTTGTAGGATTAGCGTATTAACAGCATTTAAAGCATAATATGAGTTTCCATTAACAAAAGATCACATTACAAAAGTGTTGCTTACTGTTTGGAGATGAGTCCATAAATCACTGTACACTGCATTACTATATTGGAATTCTTTCAGGTAGGTCTGGAAAAAAAGGTTATGTTTTTTAGCATCAATGGAGTAAAGTTCTTTTTGCATATTTCCTTTTTATATATATATATATATATATATATATATATACATATGCTAATTTTTCATAAATGAATCAAGGAGCTTTGAGTTACAAAAATGGCTTAGTATTAAAAAGTAATTTGGTCATGGTTAATTTGGCTTTAGAATGAATTACTTACAGACAATCCTTGAACAAACAGTTCTTCAGAGAGAAAGTCAGATAACATCCTGATGACTGATCCACCCTAGATAAAACAGAACAACTTAATAATGGTATACCAGACCAATTAAAATGTGACTGAAAAAAACCCTTAAAGTAACTTTTAGTTTTTTTTAAATCTACAATTCTTATTCGTCCAGAACCTATCTACCTCATTCTGAAAGCAATCAGAGACTTTTTCACTCATTTCTCATTGATAAAAGACTTTGAGGGGATTAATCTGTCCCCACCTCCAGCCACGATACAGTAGTGGAGATACAGCAAAGTGTAGTGTTCTGAAAAGTGGTGGAAAGATGTGATAGGGTAAGGGTCACTAATGGAATGCTAAATGGTCTCAATTTATTAAGATATGCATAGGGATTTGGGAGAAGAGAAGAGCAAGAGTAGTGAGTTGGCTGTTTTAATATGGACTGGTAACCTGTTGGTACTCATCTATGGTGGTTTCGAGCTCGTTGGTAGCTCAGAACCCAGGTGGTGTAGGGGTATCAAGGTCTACCCCTGGCAGGTTCGTGTGGAAAATGTTGGATCTTGTTTTGTTATACTTATGGATTGTTATACAATGTTATGTTATATATATGATGGGTCATTGCCTTGCGAATTCATATGTGGGAAAGTTATAGTGTTGGATGGCTGAGGATTTGGGGGTGGGCAATGACTTTTTATGTTATTGTTATTATTATTATCTTATTATAAATATATAAGTAAAAGCTGTGGACATATTGACCCATACCCAAAAGTGTCAGTGTTTCATTGGGGTGGGTTGGGTAAAGGTAATGGACAGCTCCTCCAGCCCATATGGCGACAATGCACCTGTCATGAGTGCAGCTTACCCAATAAGCTTTCAATGCGTCTGTCATACTCTCTTTGTCGAGTACAGCTAGAAAGTTTGACCAAATTGTACCTCAGTTAATATTAGTGAATGGACAAATTGTACCTCAGTTAATATAAGGACAAATTGTACCTCAGTTAATATTAGGGACAAATTGTACCTCAGTTAATATTAGTGAATGGACAAATTGTACCTCAGTTAATATTAGTGAATGGACAAATTGTACCTCAGTTAATATAAGTGAATGGACAAATTGTACCTCAGTTAATATTAGTAAATGGACAAATTGTACCTCAGTTAATATTAGTGAATGCCTAAAGGATAATTTGCACGTACACCCTCAACTCGGGTGTTAGTGAACGGATGTCTTAGAGATAGATGGGTTTTTGTTACGTTGAATGATTTTAAAATGTAACGATTCATCACTTAAACATAAAACCAAATTAGCAAGTGAATTATGTTCCTTAATTTGCTTATATTAAAGAAAATCTTTTCTCTGGATTACACAAGGTTAGTTTTGGCCCAGGATCCCTTGTATGCAAAAACTATTGCTAATAAAACACTTATCTATCAGTTTCTTTTTTTGGGGGCTGCAAGAGAGGTCTGATAAGCTTTTCAGTACTGGACAGCAGACCTACCTATCATGCATGCAGCTGATGTCTACAGGTTGGCCTATCATCCATGCAGCTGATGTCTACAGGTTAGCCTATCATCCATGCCGCTGATGTCTACAGATTGGGTTATGATACATGCAGCTGATGTCTACAGGTTGGGTTATGAAACATGCAGCTGATGTCTACAGGTTGGGTTATGATGCATGCAGCTGATGTCTACAGGTTGACCTATCATGCATGCAGCCGATGACTACAGGACTACAGGTTGGGTTATGATGGATGCAGCTGATGTCTACAGGTTGACCTATCATGCATGCAGCTGATGTCTACAGGTTGACCTATCATGCATGCAGCCGATGACTACAGGACTACAGGTTGGGTTATGATGGATGCAGCTGATGTCTACAGGTTGACCTATCATGCATGCAGCTGATGACTACAGGTTGACCTATCATGCATGCAGCTGATGACTACAGGTTAGCCTATCATCCATGCCGCTGATGTCTACAGATTGGGTTATGATACATGCAGCTGATGTCTACAGGTTGGGTTATGAAACATGCAGCTGATGTCTACAGGTTGGGTTATGATGCATGCAGCTGATGTCTACAGGTTGACCTATCATGCATGCAGCTGATGACAGGTTGACCTATCATGCATGCAGCCGATGACTACAGGACTACAGGTTGGGTTATGATGGATGCAGCTGATGTCTACAGGTTGACCTATCATGCATGCAGCTGATGACTACAGGTTGACCTATCATGCATGCAGCTGATGACTACAGGTTGGCCTATCATACATGCAGCTGATGACTACAGGTTGGCCTATTATAGATGTAGCTGCAGTATACATGCAGTGACATTTGTGAATTATCTCACCTTGCTATAAGCAATGGAGTCAAAGAGTTCACTTATTTGTGCTGGGGTGTTCACCTCTTCCTCTTTCGATGTCAGTGGATGAGAAGAAGCCAGTGCATCAACCGCCATTACATAATGTACATCATTTAGCACTATCAAATCTTTCTGAAAAGGTTTACACAAAATGGGTTAGAGAAAATTCAAATCTACTGTAATTTACATTTATTGAATTATTAATATTTCTTTTAACTAACATGAATTAGAAATAAATGATCTTGTGCTGTTTATAGAATCTATCAAGCTTTGCTCCCATCACCTACATATTTTCTGGCAATCGTCTAATGAATATATAGAACACTTGTTAAATTGCATGAATATAATCCTTCTAACAACAAAATAAATTATCCTTTATTTAAAAAGTTACAGAAATCTGTTTAAGGAGACAACAAGTGCACATTTAACATGGTTATATGCCAAAATATAATATGGTTAGGTACCAAAATATATTCTTTCTCAATGTAGCATCTCTAAAAGTTGTGTACTACCTAAAAGACAATACATACTATGTTCCAGGTGGGCTCTGCTTTGTCTGCTCCCAAATATTCCACATAAGTAGCAAAACCTTCATTCAGCCACAGATCATTCCACCATTGTATGGTCACAAGATTTCCAAACCACTATAAAACACATAGAATAAAGAAGAATTGACTAGGCTTGTGCACTCGATATCAAGCAAATTGCGATTCATCCACATTTGGGGTTGACCATCAAGATGTAATTCTGAATCACTGTATGACAAATCACAAAATGAGGACTAAACAATCTTTTTAAAAAAAAAAAACATTTTTATTTGGAGTTCAATCAAAATAGCAATGATTGATATTAGGGGCAGCCACAAAATGCTGATTTTATTTACAAATCAAGTAAAAAGTGAGCACTACAGAGAAAAAGGAGGTGCAGTACAAATAAATCTATATTGATATATCGTATATTTAATGAAACTCTTCTATATAAATGTAGATTTTATTTTTACTACTCCTTCTTTGCCCCCTCTATTCTTTACATGCAGCTGGTTTCACTTGATCTGTGAACCAAATGGTTGAAGAAAATGTGCAACATTCTCTCTGTATTTGCAGTGGACTGGAACTTGGCCAAATTGATTTGGATGACCCAAATGTTTTTGCTAGGCACAAGTCTAAGATTAACCATTATGTATATAAATTGGATGTGTTCTTTTTAGACATCAAATGGATAGCTTTGTTTTCCATAGATATAAAGAGGAATTAGATATTAGGTACACAGAGAAGACGATTACAAATACAAAGTAAATGGTACACATACACATGAATATAAAATAATTATGTCCATGTTCAAATCTCATTTAGGCCTAAACCTGTACCTGTGACATTGTTTCAAAGATGGTGATTTCAAAAATGAATTATTGTTGGTTAATAAAACTTACAGTACTGTCAGGGCCAAAAAACACAAGATGTACAAATTGAAATGTTACCATCGCTGATTCCAAAATGTCTTATTAATAAACATGTGGTAGCAGTGAAATTTACATTACAACATGGGATATTGGCAAATAAGAACCTCAGAAATAATGAAATGTATACAAATATATTTGACTATATAGGTTTGGAACATCTCGGAATATTACATTTTTTTTACCATGAATTATTATATCTAAAAAAGAGACATCTCTTAAGGCTAGAAAAAAATACTATTTAACATTTTACGTTATTGGTGGTTTTATCCAATACTAGTACTGAGACAATGGCCTTTGGAGCATAGCTGCAACAGTCGCCATCATTTACCTTTGACCTATACGATGTAGATGAGTTTATTTAACATTTTTTGGATCATGTACCCAATACAGAAAACACTAATCATATGCTTGTTCAACCTCCAGAGGTTGCTAAGGCATTATGGAATTAGTTTACTACCTCTGTTTGCATTTCTACGTATTGTTAGTAACATTTCTGTTTAGTTTCCTACACACATAATAAATGAGGTTGTGGACATGCATTTAGTTAACACTATAATTATCTATTAATTGATAATAACAATGTTGTACTATAAGAGGCCACATATCTATAATGATGTTAGACTATTCCGAATCACACTGTTTCCATACTAATATAATCTGTTTATATTTATTAATTAAGTTGTCCTAAAACTGTTTAAAAGTTGACTTGTCTCTGTTTAAATCCTGCCATTTTTCATAGACATATACATATCAGAAAATGCTGTCACATTTAGAGTGACAGAAAAAAAGGGAAATAAAACAGAACACCTTTGTAATAGAAAAAGTGTCAAAAAATGATAAATCTGCTGCTTTACCAAGACAATGGCATACATTAAAAAACTAATTTATAGGGTGAAAAGACAACAAAACCCTGTAGATATAATAGCCACCCCCCTCCAAGAAAAAGGACCAAATATAAATAAATCGCCTTTGTTTTTCTAGCACTCCAGGTAGTCTTGTGTCTACCCTGTATGTATGTGAAAGGTACCTGATGAGCCATCTCATGGGCTACCACTGTGGCTACTCGTTCCTTGTTGCTGATTGATGATACAGCAGGGTCAAATAGCAGGGCTGTCTCCCTGTATGTCACTAGGCCCCAGTTCTCCATCGCTCCGGCATTGAAGTCAGGTATGGCTACCTGGTCTGCAGGACACAAATCAGAGTTGACATGAATAAACAAACAAACAGTCAAATAAATATAACTACCTTTCAGTAAAGGCAACCATTATATATAAATGCATAAACAGAATCATGCCACGTCTTATACGTCTGAACCAAAAAAACTATAGGAAACAGTAAGAATAAAAAGAGCCACAATGTACATATATTCCTATGCTTTTTACTTTTAATTAAATGACATGATGACCATACCTGATTTTGGCAGAGGGTAAGAGATGTTATAATATTCAGCAAAAAAATCCAGAATGGGTTTTGTTATATTCAAAGCATATTCTCCTTGTTTCTCATCTTCAATAGCTTTCTTACGGCCCCAGATCTGAACCTACAGAATTAAAATTAACAGAATATATAACTCTTGCCCACCAAAAGATGTGCTGCTTCCTATCTGTTTACTACTTGTCCTGTTTAATCATACCGTCTTGGACAGCACTATGTGTCCTAATATTAATGATAAGTGTGCGTATATAACATAATTGGTACATCGTTTTATTCTTTGCTTAAGCAGAAATATATACAATGTCATACAAGTGAAACTCTAAGGGGTGTTCGGCAAGTTCTAAATTTGTAGTCATCATGTCAACTGTCAGCATTTATGACAATTTGATGAGTTCATTAGGGCTGATATTCTCTGTTTAAAACCATCTAAATTTTTCGATACAAAGAAAAAAATGGTCATAAAAGTATTGTAGGAATATCTTAGGGTTTCATTTCTGACCTTCCAAAAATGAGCATGTAAATGAAACTTCTGTAACCATGAATTGCTAGCAGGTGCACAATAAAGCAAACAAAAAAATAGAAAACAAGTGTGGAACACTAAGAACTCAAGACTGGAGTACCAGGATGCTTGTCCAATGTCCTCTGTAGTCCAGTCAGCTTTAATAGCAGAGCTGTAGGAATAGTTATAGAAATTGAGAAAACTGAGTGCTGTCCCAGCTCCAGTGTCTGTGTGTGAGGCTGGCTAGGAAGTGGATCACCCACAGGAAATACATTTCAGGACATGTAAGGGAGACACTGAGTGACGCACATTGTATAACAGCTACTGCTGCTCTAAGATAATTCTTAGGAGACTTGCTGATCTATAGAAGATATGGGAGCAGGGTCAATCCTGGGCGGGTGCACGGGGTGCACCGCACACAGGGTGCACCGCACACAGGGACCAGGAGGTGGGGGCGCCGTGCGGAGCAGGCCAATGGCCTGTCACAAGGAGCCCAGAAGGTGGCCAGCAGGCCACTTAAGGGCACCCCCGGAGCGGCGTTTATTTAGCAATGGAGAGTAGGCACCTGCTTATCCCAGAGGGCAGGTGCCTACTCTGCAGCAATATACCGGGCCGAGTGAGGAAGGCGCAGGAGACGGTTAGAAGAGAGGATCAACTGGGAAGTAAAGATGGCGCTCGCTGGGCCCCCTCTGCTGTGTACAGCACCTGGCTCTCTGCACTAAGCCACCGGGCATCTCCCCCCTCCCTGGCCACAGGTAAAAAGCAGAGAAGGGGATATAAAATAAAATATATTAAAATAAATGGAAAAAAAGCTCAGTTTTTCCCACAGAATGCTGCCCCTAATTCACACAACATTTACACACACTACACAAACACACACTCTGCATTCACAATCTACACACAGACACTCTGCATTCACTATACACACACTACATCCACAACATAAACACACACTCTGTATTTACTATACACACACGCACTACATTGACTGCACAAACACACAGTCTGCATTCACTACACACACTGCATCTAATAAACACAAACACTATATCCTCTACACAAATACACACTCTGCATTCACTATCCACACACTGCATCCACTACACACACACACTCTGCATTTACTATCCACACAATACATCCACTACACACACACACTGCATTCACTATACACACACACTGCATCCACTACAAGAACATACACTCTGTATTTACCATACACACTGCATCTACTGCACAAACACACAGTCTGCATTCACTACACGCACTGCATCTAATACACACACACAGTACATCCACTGTGCAAACACACACTCTACATTAACTATACACACTGCATCAATCACACACACACATCACATCCACTTTACACACACATTCTGCATCCACTTTACACATACTCTGCATCCACTACACACATTGCACATCCTCTATACACACACCACCATTAGCAGACACACTGCGTCCACTACACACACTGTATCCTTATGTGCGGACTTGCTGTTGGGTTCTGGGGGCCTAGATCTTGAGCTATGTCAGGGGCCCCAAAAGTTCTGATGGCAGCCCTGAGTTTGTGTCATTGAGAGTGAGTGCCAGTGTGTCTGTCAGCAGGGAAATCCTTTGGGGTGTGAAAGCTTTGCGGTCACGCAGAGTGCCATGACAACAGATGCGCCCGGTGGCCAACACACCTCGCAAGTTGGTGACACCAGCATATAAAATTTTAAATGATTCCCTCATGGTCCACTGGTGCACACCAGCAGTAGATGCAGTTACATCATATCCTCTCCCTCGTGGTTCCGACGCTCAGTTGGTGAGTCACAGCACAGGCTCAGAGATTAGCAGCCTGCGATCTGACAACATTGAAAGCCGGATCAGCGAAGGAGTGGGTATTATGATCTGAAACAACCGGACGTGCATTTCTTGCTATTCACCACTGGACTGCTGGGCAACTGATATAGGATACCACTGGATCATTTGAGGGGGCATTTGTGATCAAGCACTAGAATGGCGGGGCGCTGCAGGGAAGAGTTTTGCAACTTGGAACACCGTAGGACTCAATAGAGTTAGTGGCTGCTTTAGAATGCAGCTTTGAAAACCTCCGAACCCTATAACGTCCCCCAGTATGTGGCTGGCAAAGGAGCTGCTGAGTGAAGGTGGTGTTACACCAGCAATACTCTGCTGAGTGTAACTATCTACCCTGTCACATAACCACACCTGAACACCAATTCAATTAACCTACTTTTAACCTACGATACATAAGCAGTCAGTGCGTGACTCTGTACCCGCTATTGTTTACCTATGTATGCATGTATGGGACTGTGTTTGTGATTTTATGTCTAAGTATGTGCTGTGTGTCCTTTAATGTATGTACCTGTGTTTTTTTAAGAATGTTTGTAACTGTGTTAATGCGTGTATGCCTGTGACTGTGTGTTGGTGTGCCTGTGTCCATGATGATGTGACGATGTGTGTCTGTGATGATTGTGATGGTGTGTGTTAATTCATGTCTGACAAGGTTATGCACTAAAACAATTGTCAGGAATTCAATGCTTCCAGTTTGATTATTCTTTCATCCACTTTGAAATCCACTATGGATTCCTGACAATTCTCACTTTTGTAAATAACCCGGTATGTATGTATGCTACTGTGTATGTTGGTATGTGCCTCTGTACGTGACAGTGTGTGTCTGTGTATGTATGTGAATGTGCGCATGTCTATGCATGTATGAGATATGATCTGTGGATTTATATGTATGTGTATTCATTTGTGTATCGGGTGCATACATAACTGAACATATACAGCAAACTGAAATAAGGAAAACTATTTTACATAGAAGCTTTGCATGAAAAAATAATTTATACAAATTAGTTTATTGAGATAATTGTTTAAGAAGGTGTCACCAAGTCTAGAGCCACTGCTGCACAGAGAGGAAGCAGGAATGAATGCCTGTCTCCTGAGCACTATACCCTAGGGACCCTAGCCTCCTCTCATCCTCCCGGTGCTCATGAAAGCAAGGACTGTGTGTATGCAGTGGCGTACACACGATCCATGGGGCTCCGGAGTGAAAATTGATCCATGCCCCCCCCCGGCTGCGACCCCTGCGACCGCGGTATGTACGCCAGTGCATGCAGATACACATACACTTAAAGGACCACTATAGGCACTCAGATCACTTCAACTCAGTGAAGTGGTCTGGGTGCCAGGTCCCTCTAGTTTTAACCCTGCAGCTGAAAACATAGCATTTTCAGAGAAACTGCTATGTTTCACTGAGGGTTAATCCAGCCTCTAGTAGCTGTCTCACTGACAGCCACGAGAGCCGCTTCTGTGATTCTCACTGTGAAAAATCACAGTGAGAAGACGCCGGATGTCCATAGGAAAGCATTGAGTAATGCTTTCCTATGGGCGGTTTGAATGCACGCGCGACTCTTGCTGTGCATGCGCATTCGGAGCTGAGAGTCGGATCGGGGCTGAGAGATCCCCAGCACCAAGGGAGCCCAATGCTGGAGAAAGGTAAGTGCTGAAGGGGTTTTAACCACACACACACACACACACACTCTCACGAACAGACGCATACACACTAGCTAACAGATACACACATTTACTGACAGACACAAACTCAGTGACAGACATACATACACACTCACTGACAGACAGACACACATAAACACTCACTTACAAAACATACACTCTCACTGACAAACACACACTCACTTACAGACACCAAACAGACTCACTAACAGACACACACAAACTAACACACTCAGTAACAGACACACAGTAACACACTCACTGACACACACACACTCACTGACACACAAACTAACACACACACACTCACTAGCAAACACACACTCAATAACAGACACACACAAATTAACACAAAACTAACACACGCATTCATACACTAACACCAACACTAACACTAACACACACACAAACACTGACACTCACTAGCAGACACACACTCAATAACAGACACACACAAACTAACACACACACTAACACTAACACACATACACACTCACATTTGTTTTTTAAAATTTAATCCCCCAGCCTCCCTACCTTTCGGAGTGCTGTGGAGATTCCATCTTTCCCTGGGGTCCAGTGTTGCTGGTGGGCGGCCAGTCACTGCAGGCGGCGAGGGAGCATTCTCCCCTGAGTGCTCTATGCCCTGCTCCCTCGCGTGCCACTTACTGATGCCGGAGCTGGAGTGACATCATATTCCGGCTCTGGCATCACTGCGGTGTGCGCGAGGGAGCTGGACGGAGAGCGCTCAGGGGAGAATGTTCCCTTGCGCACCCACCTGCCCGCCGACACCACTGCCAGCCTCAGGGGGCCTCCAGGAGAAGAGGCTGGCAAACTGGTGTACATACCGCGGTATGTACGCCAGTGTGTGTATGTGACACTGATAGGCTGTTGTTACTTATATTGAGTAAGTATGTGACTTGCTGTGTATGTGTTTGTGTGTGTGTGTGTGTGTGTTTGTGTGTATGTATGTGACCGATATAGTGTCCATATGACAGTGCAAATGTGTGTGTATTGTATTGTGTGTGACTGTCTAGGTATGCATGGGGCTGTGTGTGTAATTGTGTGATGATGTATGTTGTGATTTAGAACGCTCAGTGCTGGACTTCCTTGTTTTGTGTTTCACATATATCTGGAGATGTGGTCAACTCCTTAGTTTGGAGAACCCCCCCCCTTTTTTTTTTTTTTTGCTTTTGTTTTGCCTTTTATATCATTCAAAAGAAATGGAATTCTGTGACTGGAGTGCAGTCCCTTTTATTCAATATTGATGTGTTCAGTTTGTGATTATGGTTATGTCTGTATGTATATGTGATTGCATCTATGCATGTGACTTTATTTATGTGGGGTCAAAAAAATGGTTTAAAAGGGATTAAGAAACACACAAGAAGAAACAGTGGGTTAAGAAACAAGACTGTAAAAGAAAAAGAGACATGCAAGGTGGAAAGAAGGGTTTAGGAGAGACATTAATGAAGAATCAGGAAAAACATAAAAGGAGTTGGGGAGGTGTGAAGTAACACACAAACGTTTATTCTAATCTATTGGCATGGTAAGGACTAACCTATTCAAAAACAGCTGAAATGGAACAAAAATATCCACTTAATTTATTTTCAGGTCAGCTATATTGTCCAAGTTATATTGTTTTGGCTTAGATGGTGAAATACTTTTAGGTAGGTCAAGGGAAGGGTCAGGAAGGGGTGATGTGAGGATTTTTTGCACAGGGCACCTAACGGCACCTAGCTGGCATTGTCTGTCAGTGTATTTGTGTCTGTCAGTGAGCGTTTTTAAATCATTGAGAGTGTGTGTCTGTCATTGAGAGTGTCTGTCAGTAAGTGTGTATGTGTGTGTCTGTCAGCATTTGTGTCTGTCAGTGAGTGTTTCAAATCAGTGAGATTGTGTATCTGTCATTGAGAGTGTGTGTCAATGTGTCTGAATATGCTTCTGTCAGTGTGTGTCAAATCAGTGAGTGTGTGTGACTGTCAGTGAGTGTGTGTCTAGATGGAGAGGTGAAGTCATTGCAAAGGGGAGGGGTTAGTAAGATGACAACGCCACCTGGGGGCACCCCAAGTTATTATGCACTGAGGCGTCTGGGACCCAAGGATTGTCCCAATTTAGGAGGTTGATAACTTTGCAATTGACTCTTTAAACTCCACATACCCTAAATGCACATTTTCTCTTACCATAAATGTAACCCTGTCAAAACCTAAAAAAAAAAACCTAAGTAATTTTTCCATATTAAGGCACTCAAAGCCTAGACCTCAAAATAAACCGTTTGCTTAACTTCTTTTAAAAACTAAACACCTCATGTACCTCAAAAATACATTTAACCTAGCCCTAAACTCAATAATCCTAAATCACCCACTGTATCAAAATACGAAATTTAAGCCCACTCTAACTATAATACCAATACTCAACCTTTTATCAGTATTAACAGCCCTTATACTATAACTTTAATCCTTCTCAAGCGTTTATTCTTCTTAACAATAAACACCCACAATCTAATTTTCAAGTTAATTCCTGTCTAATCTTTTTTACCGTAACCATTATAACATAATCTCTAACCCTGCATTCATTTACACAGCTGCATACACTCACTATACTCACAGACTCAAACACAATACATTACAAGCAGAGCAGAAATGTGCACATACAGTTATACATATCAAGTTGTCAAATATGAGTATATAATTTTTAAACTTGCAATGTCAAGTTAATACATTGATTATACTTGCTTTATCTGCATGTATACTATATTATATTTAACTGCTTTTTTAGGATGGGGAGCAGGGGTCACCTTAGAATTGTGTGTCTGCAGGCACCTTACCTATATACCCAGCCCTGTAAAAACCTCAGAATCCTCTAACAAAAATTAGACAAAACTGTCTTCCACCGCCTCCTTTACATCATGTATGAGGCATAGAGGAGTATTTTGCATCTCCTCTATACCATTTGACAGCCTACCATTGGTAAGTGAAGTTCAAAACTATTGAGTCAGAATTCAAAGCACCGCCATTTACCTGGGAGGGGAGGGTTGTAGTGACCCTGAATTTTCCTTATGCATGTTAAGGTTTATAGGCTATGATGAAGAAGTTAACAATATTATTATTTTTCCAAATCACTTCCTACCTCTTCATTTTAGGTGCAAAGGGGTAACAGAGTGGAGGTGAAACATAAAGTTGAAGAAGCTAGGAAAATGGATGGGCTCTCCACCCTAATCCATGATACAACTAAACACTTTGACAAAATTTGGAACCCATAGCACTTCGAAAATTGATTGGCTCTCCACCCTAATCCATGATACAACTAAACACTTTGACAAAATTTGGAACCCATAGCTCTTCGAATTCCCGATGCCTCAATAGAGGCTGGGCCCCAGCAGAAGACGCTAGTTACCAACTCTACCACTGTCATGAACCCCAATTACTACTTCAAACTACTCATTCTCCCTCAGTGTTATCTTTCCTTTTCTCTACTTCTGTCCCCCCCCCACACTTACATGACACACTACACCACCAACACAAGAACCTAAAAAGTCCACCCCCGCTCTCCACCCCCACATCCACAACCAGGATCAACCGCACCCATGTGTACCACATTTCAATACAACCACAACTCTACCCTACCGTCAAACAGCACCTCACCAGGCCACATCAGCTACCTAGGGGAAAATATTCACCCAGCAAAACGGCCATTAACATGAAAAGCCACTCCTGTTGCCACTCTTCTAACCCCTGACCACAAGCACATGACAACAGATTCCAGAAAACGGGGCATTCACCGGTGGCTAATACTCAAGATCATCACCCCCACATCAACCAACATGAGAAAGGAAGTCACGGATCCCAAGTGGAAATACCTAGGATGCACATACCTAGACTACCTACCCAAGTTAATTTATTCAAGTTAACGAAAATTTAAGTTACCTTGTCTAACCGACAAGAAATGAAGAAATGAATTGTTAAATTTTGTTTTAGCCAATGTCGTGAAACTGATGTCATGCCAATAACCAAAACAGTCATATGTACGCTGTATTATATATATATGACTCTATGCTTTAAAAGTATATTATATCAAATGTAAAGGCAAACTTCAAGCACGACATGTACATTTATACCGAATACCTGTAATAAACTTTAAAATGCAAAAATAAAGAATTTCAAATATATGAATAACCATACCTTTAAATGTGCCACTTTTAATGAATGTGAGGAAACAGGAGGGGCAGATAATATTTTGGGCCCAGATCTATCTGTCTCTCTTTTCTATCCTAATGTCCCTCTTTTCTAAACTAATGTCCCTCTTTTATAGGAGCTCCATATAGTTGGTGTGTCTGAGTGTCAGAGCTCCACAGCAATAATTCTCACAGTAATGTGTATTTAAACTACAATAAATGCATTTAGAAATCAGTATGTGTAAATAAGATACATAGATACATTGTTCTTGTTCTAAATTACATTTTAGTTGCATAAATTGTTATTAGAATGCCACCTACAATTTCTTGGAACAGCCCCACTCCCAGCTACACCTTAACCTCTTTCTCTATTTGAAATCTGGCTGGGTATCCCGAACCATCTTACTCTTCCCTCTATCACTTTTGCTTTAATTTGCATATACTCCCAAACCAACGCAAAATAAGAGTCTGCCCTACCCTTTCCCCTATCAGGGATGAAGAGGTTAATAATGGAGAGTTTGATGCCACATTTCTACTGACTGGGAAGTTGCATCTACAATGAATACATAATTGATATTACTATGTAAAGTACAGTTTCCAGGGGAAAGCCTTGTAATATAAATGGGCCAAAGTTAGACCTAATGTGAAAGATAGATAGGATAATGTCCAGTTTTCCTGGTTCTAAGTATGAAAAATATGTAATTAGTCATGGGAGTTTTTTTTAACGATTACATATAGCAAAATCCAAGTAAAACAGAATAGATTCATATTTAGCTTTAGCGCGCGTGATAAAATAATACCCAGATTTCTTCATTAGCATAAAAATATTTCATAAAAATTCTGTGTGACACAGTGATTTACAATGATAGACGTACAGTAACTTAGTTACTTGGTTTTGTGATTTATTGTCCCTGTCTCTCCCACACTTAAGATGAGAGAAGGAGGATTATGTCTTGCTCCTTGTTATAGAAAGCCCTGCTTAAAGTGGTTTTAGAGTATTTTACAATGTTTGCTTGCTGATATACCGTGAGCTCAAGTTGTAGCAAATGCAATTTTTTTTAAATATCACTCAGACTTTGTTTCAATGGATACATTCAGAAGGGCATTTTGTTTAGAAGTTTTAGAAGATGAGATAGTTTTCGAATCAGTAATCACAATAAAAAATGCAAATTTGTACTATAACTAGATTGCATTTACCACATAGCTGATACTGGGATTTATTTATTTATTACATTAAACTGTTTTATACAAGTTTTGCAATTCAATGAAAAATTTCGATTTTGTGAATAACCTGTATTAACTAACTTACCCCAATAGTATCACTAGTTCCTGCAGCACCAGTTGCTTTAAACTGAGACACTATAAATGCCACCAGGTACGTGGACATTTTGAAGGTTTTATCAAAAACAGTTTGAGTCCATTGTTCACCATCTTCTGTTATATTAGTTTGACCTACAGAAAAGAAACATTAGTGTCAGAGAAACATTAGAAATCACAAAGCATACAATTAGCCCTTTCTTAAAGTTCGCTCAAATATATTAGTATGCAGAAATGGAGTTTGATAAAGTTTTAGAAAATCAGAAAACATATTATATAAATACTACGGCAAGAAATATACAGTGAAAATTGGGAACATGAAATAATCTTGTACGGAATTTATAAATTTATAAGATGAACTTGTGAGCTCTAATATTGTAAATGTTTGAAATCACCAAGGACCGTTTGCAGTTAACCTATTCTCATAATTCTTTTGCTAAATTTGGAGTTCTTCCTAGTGATTAATGTTGCTTCTCCTATATTGCGTGTCCATGATCAATTTGGTCCCTTTATACTGTTAGTGGGGTTTCCTGTGGTATACTGTGTTAGTGTGGTTTCCTGTGGTATACTGTGTTAGTGTGGTTTTAATAATCAATCAGCTTTCTCTCCCGACACCTTAATTCCTCTCCTGTAACTGTCATCATAACAACACTAAGCCCTCAGTGAACACTATCCTAGCAACCTACTTTTCTACCCTTCCTTTACCTTTTGTGTCACTATAACCCACTCCCTCTAGCATGTAAGCTCATTGAGCAGGGCCCTCAATCCCTCTGTTCCTGTATGTCCAACTCATCTGGTTAAAAACACGTCTGTTAGTCGATCCATTGTACAGCGCTGCGGAACTTGGCGCATTTTAAATATTGAATTGAAAGTGTATGCGCTTAGTAGATCGGTCCCATAGCAAATTCTAATGGGTTCTAATACAAATATATTAGCAATATTGTGCGGAGCTTATATATCTACACACACTTCCCCAGCGTTGTGCAAGATATATGTAGAGTATTAGATAGGAATATACCAATAAACATTAATTGTATAAAATAATCAAAATTTATGATGTTTTAAAACACGGGTATTCCTAACTATTGCTATAAATAGCTGCTAACACAGTAAAAATAAGTGATAATGAGCACCAATAATCACTAGATGATGCAACAGAGTCAAGTTTAAGTTTAAAGAGAGTAAAGTGTTCCTGTTTACCACTCCTTCACAGGCAGCAAGACCCGCATGGCAATTGGAGGGTTAACTGCTGGATGATATCTTTATGAAGGTAATGATTTAAAAACTATTTAATTGCAACACAGTTTCAGCTTGCTCTAAGAAACTTTCACTGCGGCTGGGAATCTAGCATGTAATGGATCCATCTGCTACAAGAGTATCTATCTGGACACAAGAACAAGCTTTTAAATCATCACCTTCATAAAGATATCATCCAGCAGTTAAGCCTCCAATTGCCATGCGGGTCTTGCTGCCTGTGAAGGAGTGGTAATATATTCCACAGGAACACTTTACTCTCTTTACATCACTGACTCCGTTGAATCATCTAGTGATTGTTGGTACTCATTATCACTTATTTTTACTGTGTTAGCAGCTATTTATAGCAATAGTTAGGAATACCCGTGTTTTAAAACATAATACATTTTGATTATTTTATACAATTAATGTTTATTGATATATTCCTATCTAATACTCTACATATATCTTGCACACCACTGGGGAAGTGTGTGTAGATATATAAGCTTTGCACAATATTGCTAATATATTTGTATTAGAACCCATTAGAATTTACTATGGAACCAATCTACTAAGCGCTTACACTTTCAATTCACTATTTTAGGAATAATCATTTATGTGTTTAGCAGCTAATAATTTATTATAGTTTTACCATTATTCTTCATATTTTTAGTATTATTTGCGCTTTTTTGTTTAACAATTTTAACTCTATTTGCTTTATAAATATTAATAATAATCATAATAATAAACTCTTCGTATCTTTATAACATATGATTCACTGTGAGTTTTTTCACGTTAGTTTTTTTTTTTATTCACGCAATGTGCAACATATTCCTTTAGTAGCGTGAAAGCTGACTTGGCATCCATAATTTTATGCATGGTCACCTGTCATGTGATTTATCAGACCAATCACACAGATATATGTACTTTTACAAATGATTGTAATTATAATAAGCACAGTCACTTACTGATAGGATTCATGTTTGACAGAGCCACATAGTCTGGTTTATGTACAATGGTGATGTTGAAAGTAGCTTTCATTGCTGGTTCATCAAAACAGGGAAATGCCTTCCTGGCATCCGGGGCCTGCATCTGTGTGGTAGCGATGATCCTGTCACAAACAAAAATATGTTAGCTAAAAGAGACCCTGTTGTATCATGTGGCTCACGGTGCACTACAAATTAGGGTAAGATTAGATTTGGAGTTAGGTAAAGGTTAGGGAGACTCTGTAATATTAAGTAGTCTGTAGGGAATCATTCATTATGTATATATGTATGAGGCAAAAGTCCCATCGCTGCAATTAAGAGGATTTCATTTAAAAAAAAAATATTGGCATTTAAATGTCACATAACTTAATAACGTTAACAGTGACACCTAAATGTCTCTACTTTAAAAAATATTGTAGTAACATTATTTTAACTCTTTCCATAATGAAGCACTGCTTTGATAAGGGGTACAGCAGTGTATACATTAATGTAAGTTTAGAGGTAGTTGGGGAGGGTTGAAATTATAGGGAATCTAAGGTTGGTATCCACCTTCATATTGTTGTGGATAGTCCAGTAGCTAATATAACACCACATACAGAAGATTTTTGGGGCAAAGTTATCAACATGGGTCATTTAAAAATTATGGACTGCACAATTAGCACTTTTTTAAGTTACTCTTCCATAATGTAACTAGAAAACTCTGAATGTATATTTTCTGGTACATTTCTTGCTAAACAATGTATCACCAATGACACCAGGGGTTCTAACATGCAAGGTTAATTAGATAATACTATTTCTCAGACACAAACTGATGTTCTTCTCAGCATATACATAATGCCCATTGGTTATATCACTTTTTTATTTTTCCCAAATATTTTGAATGATTATGGTAATGTATTATGATGTATTATTATATAATATGGCATCATTGCATGGTTAATCATTTTATTCTTTTAAGTGCTGTTATGTAATATAACTCATCAACCACGTTGAAAATGCAAAATAGAGAATACTAAATAAGGAAAGCTTAGTATTTACCAACATGACCTTACATATAGCCTCCTGGTGTAGCTTCCATGTAACACACCATTGGTTGGAGAGGTGCAAATTATAGTAACCTTAGCTCCTCTTGGCTAGACAAGTTATCTTTGGATCATGGGATCCATAGCTGTGTAACAGCTGGAGAAATACATGTTGGCAACCAATAGCTAACACTGACGTATCTTATTGTGAGGTTTAATCATTCTAAAACCTTACTTGGTTTCTCCATCCTCCACATATTCACTCCGGTAAAATCCAGCCAGGTCATCTGCCAGCTCCCCAACAAACTCAGTGTACAAAGAGTAATTTTTGCCAACTTCCAGGGGGGTAGACACATGTAGCACCAGATACTGTGTTACTGGCACCTCTTCTATCTTAGACACAGTTAGAGCATTCCCAGAACTATCCCTAAGAATAGCTGTGGGATTTGTGGTGAAATTGAGCTTGTTACTGTGGATAATGACAAGGTTGGTTGCTTCTTCACACGTAAAGAAAGCTTCACTTTTTCCGTGAAACACATAGAGTCCTTCAGCATTCTTCTCTAGAACTGGCCGTAGTCGAACATCATAATGATCTGGTTTAAGGGTTTTTGGAAGACGGTATTTGAGCCATGGTTCATCAGATGGAGGAGTGGTGGTGGTGGTGATGGAACTAGTGGGACTGGTGCCAGATGTAGTTGTGCTTGATACATCTGGAGGATTTTGTAGGTCATAATTTCTTGCCTTTTCTTGAGCATACACTACTGCCAGAGCTATGACAGTAGCTACAGCAGCTACAGAAAAAACAATGCCAACAATAGCAACAATCTTGCTGACATAAAATCCCTTTGCCATTGTGTTAGGAGAAGGTAAAAGAGAATGGAGGAGCTGGCCTTTATATTATTACCTCAGTTTGTAAGGGAAAGGGGTCGTGCCTGTGTAAAGTCAACTGGTTGAATATTAACTGTGTGGAGCAAAGGTTGCAGGAAGATCAGATTAATTACATGTTCGAATCTTGAGCTACGTTCCCTAAAAACACTGATAATCTACTTAAACACTGGAAAATGTTTACGTGTTACCTGTTAGAAAATAAATGAATGCTTTATAACAGTTAGGATGGAAGTTGTCAGGTAATAGTATTTGGTTTTGATTTACAGTTGTTCAGTTGTTGTGATTGAGATATTCCATTTTGGCATAATGTTAATTTGAGCATTATTCTGTTGTAGATTTTATGTATACAGTTGTGCTCAAACATTTGCATACCCTGGCAGAAATTGTGAAATTTTGGCATTGATTTTGAAAATATGACTGAGCATGCAAAAAATTACTTTTGTTGAAGGATAGTGATCATATAAAGCCATTTATTATTACATAGTTGTTTGGCTCCTTTTTAAATCATAATGATAACAGAAATCACCCAAATGGTCCTGATTGAAAGTTTACATACCCTTGAATGTTTGGCCTGGTTACAGAAACACAAGGTGACACATGCATGTTAAAATGGTAATTAAAGGTTAATTTCCCACACCTGTGGCTTTTTAAATTGCAATTAGTGTCTGTGTATAAATGAGTTTGTTAGCTCTCATGTGAATGCACTGAGCAGGCTAGATACTGAGCCATGGGGAGCAGAAAAGAACTGTCAAAAGACCTGCATAACAAGGTAATGGAACTATATAAAGATGGAAAGGGATATAAAAAGATATCCAAAGCCTTGAAAATGCCAGTCAGTACTGTTCAATCACCTATTAAGAAGTGGAAAATTCGGGGATCTCTTGATACCAAGCTCAGGTAGACCAAGAAAGATTTCAGCCACAATTGCCAGCATAATTGTTCGGAATACAAAGAAAAACCCACAGGTAACCTCAAGAGAAATACAGACAGTTTTGGAAAAAGACGATGTGATTGTTTCAAGGAGCACAATATGACGATACTTGAACAAAAATGAGCTGCATGGTCAAGTTGCCAGAAAGAAGCCTTTAATGTGCCAATGCCACAAATAAGCCCAGTTGCAATATCTCCAACAACACATTGACACACCTCACAGCTTCTGGCACACTGTAATTTGGTGTGATGAGACCAAAATAGAGCTTTATGGTCACAACCATAAGTGCTATGTTTGGAAAGGGGTCAACAAGGCCTATAGTGAAAAGAATACCCTCCCTACTGTGAAACATGGTGGTGGCTCACTGATTTTTTTTTTGGGAGGGGGGGAGATGGGGGGAAGGGATGAGCTCTAAAGGCATCACAGTCTCTAGACCTTAATATCATCGAGCCACTCTGGGGAGATCTCAAACGTGCGGTTCATGCAAGGCGACCAAAGACTTTGCATGAATTTGAGAAATTTTGTCAAGACGAATGGACATCTATACCCCATGTAAGAATTAGGTGCCTCATAGACAACATTTACAAAAGACTGCACGCTGTCATTGATGCTAAAGGGGACAATACAAGGTATTAAGAACTAAGGGTATGCAGACTTTTGAACAGGAGTCATTTAATTTTTTTCTTTGTTGCCATGTTTTGTTGTATGATCGTGCCATTCTGTTATAACCTACAGTTGAATATGAATCATAAGAAATAAAATGAATGTGTTTTGCCTGCTCACTCATGTTTTCTTTAAAAATGGTACATATATTACCAATTCTCCAAGGGTATGCATACTTTTAAGCACAACTGTATTATTATTCCCATTCCCTTTTTAGTAGGTATTTGTCTTACTTCTTCATATTGTTAGCTTTACGTAACTATTTAAGTGACATAATGTCTTTCCATAGTTTCAATGGGGGCATATGTGGCTATTTTGGAGGAATCTGTAGGTTTCCCATAATCTGAAAGTGAGTGGCAGAGGGTGTTTTAGAAAAGTTCAAATTTGATGACAAGAGCTTGCCACCCACTTATCCACTCAATCTGTGAGATAGGAGGGATACTGAAAATGATATGACAGACTATTAATGAGCAGGGTCAATCTGTTCATATTGTCATTAGTGATGTCTCGAACATGAAATTTTCGGCGAACCGCCATAGACTTCAATAGGCAGGCGAATTTTAAAACACACAGGGACTCTTTCTGGCCACAATAGTGATGGAAAAGTTGTTTCAAGGGGACTAACACCTGGACTGTGGCATGCAAACTCCGATCCACGGCTGCATCTTGCAGCCGCTTAGTAGATAACTCCCTAATTCCCACGGTATTAGAGAGCTATCTACTAAAAGGCTGAAAGACCTAAATTGGTCTTTCAGCCACATTTACTAATACTAAGTAAAGATTACTTAGTATTAGTAAATTCTGCCCCTACTCGCTATGCAGCGAGTAGGGGCATGTCTAGTAAGCAGTGAGCAGCCAGTGGCTGCTCACTGTAAAAAAAAAACAAAAAAAACCTGTTGCCCCCACCCCTGTGCGACGGGTGGGGGCCATAAATTACAATGGGGGGAGGACCTACTGTCCTCCCCCTCGGCCCCCACCCCTGGGCGGCGGGTGGGGGCCATAAAGATAAGGAGGGGGGGGACCTACTGTCCTGCCCCCCCCACCCCTGCGCGGTGGGTGGGGGCCATAAAAAAATGAGGGGGGGACCTACTGTCCTCCCCCCTGCCCCCACCCCTGCGCAGTGGGTGGGGGCAAATAAATCACAATGGGGGGGGACCTAAGGTCTACCCCCGGCCCCCACCCCTGAGCGGCGGGTGGGGGCCCTAAATACTAAAAAGGGGGGGACCTAAGGTCCTCCCCCCCGGCCCCCACCCATGAGCGGTGGGTGGGGGCAAATAAATCACAATGGGGGGGACCTAAGGTCCTCCCCCCTGGCCCCCACCCCTGAGGCGGCGGGTGGGGGCCCTAAATACTAAAAAGGGGGGGGACCTAATGTCCTCCCCCCCGGCCCCCACCCCTGAGCGGTGGGTTGGGGCAAATAAATCACAATGGGGGGGACCTAAGGTCCTCCCCCCTGGCCCCCACCCCTGAGCGGTGGGTGGGGGCCCTAAATACTAAAAAGGGGGGGGACCTAATGTCCTCCCCCCCGGCCCCCACCCCTGAGCGGTGGGTTGGGGCAAATAAATCCCCTGGCCCCCACCCCTGAGCGGCCAGGGGGGAGGACATTAGGTCCCCACCCCTTTTTAGTATTTAGGGCCCCCACCCGCCGCTCATGGGTGGGGGCCAGGGGGGAGGACCTTAGGTCCCCCCCATTGTGATTTATTTGCCCCCACCCACCGCTCAGGGGTGGGGGCCAGGGGGGAGGACCTTAGCCCCCCCTTTTTAGTATTTAGGGCCCCCATCCGCTGCTCAGGGGTGGGGGCCAGGGGGAGGACCTTAGGTCCCCCCCCTTCTTAGTATTTAGGGCCCCCACCCACCACTCAGGGGTGGGGGCCGGGGGCGGGACAGAAGTTCCTCCCCTATTGTTTTTTTTAGGGCCCCCACCCACCGCTCAGGGGTGGGGGCCGGGGGGAGGACAGTAGGTCCCTCCCCCATTTCATTGAGTAAACTTTGACAACCCCCACCCTCGAGCGGCAGGTGGGGGGGTTGTCAAAGTTTACTCAATGATATGGAATAGGGGCGGACCAAACATCGTATATGTTTGCCCGCCGTGGCGAACGCTAACATGCGATGTTCGCCAGGAACTATTCGCCGGCGAATTGTCATATGGCATGTGCTGCTATGTATAGATAAATCTTTCTTTTCGTAGATAAATCAGTTGAGTAGGAGTCTGTGGAATCTCAGAACTTATTCCCATCTCCTGTACTGTGAGGTCGGGCTAAATAGTACAGAGGTCCCCAGGTAACTCTTTTAACAAGCAGAAACCCTAGAGGGCAATTATTTAGTGATTATTTGTTTTTTTCAGTATACGGTTTTAGGAGTATTCAGGAATAAATCTCAAAAATTACTCTGAACTATTCAATCTCATTCAGGTATTATCAAGCTAAACTTGGGCCATTTCAGATCAATTAAGAAAGGCTTACATTTATGATATATTTGAGCTCAGGTAAGTCATGATTATTAATGTACTGTTAACAAAGGACCCACACTGTATCTGATGAGCGCTATTTTAACATATGCCTAGTTAGTATAATTTTATATTGCCAATAAATACTATGTGTCACTCACACGTTTATGTCTAATTTTCAGCAAGCTTTTGTCACAATGTATTGTTATATATGCCATTGTAGTGGAAGCAGGAGGACTGATCGCAGACTTGGGAACCAGACATATTCCACCCAGTATCCGTTACTTCTACTAAGGGAAAATATAGTGGACAGCCAGCCTTTCGTTCCAGCACTACCCGACAAGTGGTGCTAAGGATCTTCTAGAGATACAGCTTCAGCAGACGTTCCTTTAAAGTGAGCATCAGTACCGTACAGCTTTATTGAGACTCCCACAGGGTTTTCATGCATTCCTTTGTTTGTACAGTGGACACAAGTCAACCAACCACAGTGAGGATAGTGAAGGCATCCAATCACACTAAGAAGGTTAATTAAATTACAGTACCATGTGAACAAGGAAGGTGGGAAACAGATTATTATGAAAAGGATTGTGGAGATCACGGGGAACTGGTTTCAAAACCCTCTAGTCTCCCTCTCCAGGAACAATGTGATAAAGCCCTGCTAGTAATACAACAAGGCTGGGATGGGGGTGGGAAGACACACACAAAATGCTTACTCACTAGCTTAAGTCCAACCACACAATATAGAAATTCCAGACCAGCCTATATGATTAGCTATTGTCAAATTTCAGCCATAACAGAGGGTCCATAGCCTCTAGGAAGAAGATTGGTCTCCAAATCCCTCCACAAGGCAAATTGTCTGCTAGTTGAAATGAGCAGCCATTGAAAAGTGGGAAAGCTTCCATTGCAGAAATTTGTTTTTGACAATGCAACAGATTTATTGTTTTTTTCACTCATTTTTCTGTTAGAAAAGCGGCATAACTATTCTTGCCACTGAAAGTTTGGCAGTCTTCTGAAATGGAAAATTGTGACATTTATTAAAATGAAAACTGACTAACTCTAATAAAAATATGATGGAATTTAACCATTACTTTTCAGAATGCTTTGATAAATATCCACCATTGTTTTAGTATACTTCACAATGCTAGCATATCTTCCTTTTTATTTGACAAAGAATGCATGTTCTTTGACCTATTAACCAATTATTTCCATTTTCCTTGAGAAACAAGTACATTTTCCTTCTGTGCTTATATGCCTGTCTAAGTAATTACAGAAAAATAAAAATGTAAAGAACCACAGACAGAACCTTGAAACATAATATGGCATTCCATGCCTAACTTTATCCTCATGGGATAATTACCATTTATTTTAAACCTGGCCTTTTTTATTTTAATTAAGGTTTTTTTTATATAAACATGAATAACTTTGCCTGTTTTATTTAATTTAAACAGTACCCCCTTGTACTCTTCAAAATACAGAGATGTTGTCAGGGTGAACTTGCAACATTAGAAGGTAGTGAATGGTTAGTGTGACGGACCGCCTGGCACCCCGACTGGGAGCCTCCGCCAATCGATTCTTCCTAGCTGATGCTGAGGACCATAAGCGCCGCACCGGACACCGTAGCCCCTTAGCCACCGTAGCTTAGCTGGGGTCTCGCCATCCCTTCTCACTCTGGACCAACCTCTTGGATCCAGCTCCCAGTGGGAAGGCCTCTCCTCCAAGAGAGTATAGCTCTGAAGCTCTTACAAGAGCTAGTGGTTATAGCAATCCAAAGAACAATGCCAAGATCAGGGATTATAGCTGGTATAGCTGTTCCCTACAATCACGCGATGAGGCTGCGTGTTGAGGATGAAGAGAACTGACTTTAATGGTGCCACACTTGGCCTGTTATGATAATCCCCATGCAAGAGGCACTCCCACATGGACTTTGTGGGGAACTATGGTGCAAAGTCACAGACCAATAATAACAGTGTTACAATGCATGACACTCCCACACATAGCATACAATCCCTCCCCTCTGTCTGGGAAATAATTGAGTCAGATACTGTATTAACTCAATTATCTCCAGGGAGAAAAAACACATTATATTTATTGTTATAAAACCTCCAAAAGTACCGCAAAACACATAATATCCCCACAATGTTACATGTTACATCCCCTGATAGCCCTAATCTGGATGACCAACATATCCAAAAATCACCCAGATCAGTTCAGGGGTTCAGGAATTCTATGGAAGTCACATTTTGACCGCCTGCACGCATGGTCCCATGCCCAAAACAGTTCCAGAGAATCAGGCTCTGCGGTTGGTCTATTTCGAGGATACATAAAACAGTTCAAATACGAACATATAGCTTCGGGAGTAGTCTTAGTTTATGTCTCTTAGGGATGTGCATGGGGAAAATATTCGGTTCGGTTCAGCATTCTGAAATTCAGGACTTCGGCACTTCGGAACTTCTGTACTTCGGCACTTCGACACTTCGATACTTCTGAACTTCGGCTACTTCGGAACTTCGGAATTTCGGAACTTCAGAATTTCTGGACTTCGGATGTTTTCTTGCAGTATTAGTAAATTTGGCTGAAAGACCAATTTAGGCCTTTCAGCCTTTTGGTAGATAGCTCCCTAATACCGTGGGAATTAGGGAGTTATCTACTTACTCCTCCCCATCCCTTGACTGTAATGGAAGTAACTTACATTTTATATGAATGTGTGTTACTTGATTGCTGTAAGTCTTGCAAATGCTTACAGCTGAATCCTGGCTATGTTTGTATACTTTTATTTAAACTTCGGCACTTCGTCAACTTTGGAATTTTGGCACGCTGGCACTTCAACATTTCGGAACTTCAGCAACTTCAGAAATTCGGCAATTCAGCTATTCGGACATTCAGAAGTCTCTGAATGTCCGAATTGCCCGAAATTCGTCTGAATTGAGATTTGGAATGACATTGCACATGTCTAATGTCTCTCGTTTAGGAGTTTATTCTTACCAAATGCTGTTTGACTCCCATTCAAATAGCCAAACATCCGTGGAAGGTATGTAGTTTAGCAGTGTTCGCGCCATAGAGTGTCCAATTTGAGTTCCATACACTCAATGACTAAACACCGCTCATTGTGCTCACGGCTTAAGATGGCCTCTGCCACGTGTTCAAATGCTGCTTCGAACTGATTCGAGAGTTCGAGAGTTCGAGAGTTCGGGAGTTCAAAGTGCCGCTTCGGGAGTTTGAAGTGTTACTGTACAAGTCCAAAAAGGCTCCTCCAATAGCCAGTGGCGAGGTTACTTTTGCCACAGTTAGTGTCTTAATTTAGGTATGGAGTACAGGAGCCACTGGACTAGAGAAACAACTGTGGAACAACTGTGGCTCCTCCAGATAGAGAGCATGGTAGATGTGACTGAGCCCTGCAAAATAAAGCAGTCATAAGACATGTTATGTGTTACACGGGACCGTTGGTATACAGTTTGCCACCCCCTATTCCCTGTTGTATTAGCATATTAGTTGATTTAGACTGCCATAAATAACTCCATAGATACGCGATTTTTGTACTGTTTGATAAAAGATTTTCTTTTATCACTTGTTGTTTTAGTATGGTCCTTGAGAGTAACATAGAAATCTAAAAGATACAGTATATGACTTAATCACCTGTGCTGTTATTAAGTTATTAAGCATTAATTGCTGAGGAAAAAAGAATCGGCAAGATGATACCAAGAATAAGGAAACACACCCTTATATATGTTATTTAAGGGCTGATGTCAGCAGCAAATATAATATAGAGGTGAAGAGGCCAGTGCTCAGGAATTCAGAAACAAAAATAAGAATCAGTGGCCATCACTTGCAGTGGCGGATCCAGAGCCTGATCTCGGGAGGGGCACTTGTAGATTATTTAAATAAATAATCCAGACACAATAGCCACTACAGTTCAGTGTAGACCCCCTCCCAGAGTATGTAGTCAAACCGTTTAAGAACAGTTTGACAATTTACCTGAGGTCTGCTGGGAAATGGGGCTGTAGTAGGGCATAGGAGCAGTGGTGTTTGTGAGTGGTGCAATGTGTAAGGGGTGCAGTGTGTGTGTGAGGGGGACAGTGTGTGAGCAATGTGTGTGTGTGTGTGTGAAGGTTGCAGTGTGTGAGTGAGGGCGGCAGTATATGTCAGGGGTGCAGTGTGTGTGTGTTGGGGGGCAGTGTATGTGTGGGTCAGTATTTGTGTGTGACATTTGCAGTGTGTGTGTGTGTGAGAGGATTGCAGTGTATGTGTGAGTGTGGGGGGGCAGTGTATGTGTAGGGCAATGTGTGTATGGGGAGCAGTGTGTGTGTATTATTATTATTATTTTATTATTTAGCGCTGTACAAAGGGTATGGGGGCAGTGTGTGTAATGGGGAGCAGTGTGTGTGTATGGGGGCAATGTGTGTGTATGAGGGGCAGTGTGTGTGTATGGGGGCAGTGAGTTCACTCTCGCGAGATTTGGAGCGTTGCTGTGGTCGTGAGAGGAGGACCCGGAGGAGCTGCATGTAAGAGCTCCTGGGTCCTCTCTCCCTCCCTCCCCTGCCGGCTGTCAGCACCGCGCCTGCGGACTGGGGAGGGAGATCACGGTCCATGAAGGCACATTGCACATTGCCGGCACTTGGACAATTCAGTTCCTGACTCAATTATCTCACAGACACAAGGGTGTGATTATCCTGTTTTGTGTGGGAGTGTCTTGGACCTGAGAGCCAATGTATTTACAGTGTGTACTTTGCCATAGTCCTCTCTCAGGTGGGGAATGCCCCTGGAATTTGTCACGGTAAACCCCTTGCATGGGGACTTGCATATAAACCGGCCAGTTGGCCTGAATAAATTCATTCCTGTTGTACCCTTTATCTAGTTTAGGCTGATGTTTGGGTATACATCTGATTGTTGGAGAATTTACTGGGATACTGCATTTTCTTCTGGAGAACGTTCGAATCAACACCCAAACTGTGAGCTATAATCACTCAGCCTTAGGCAGTTCGGGAGGAACCGAAAACAAACAGGTATCCGAAATACCATATTAATAATATTCCTAACAGACTCCTTCTACATTCCATGCTCACTTAGGTTGGCATGCGGCTCTTGATGGAGAATCTTCTATTTGGTGGATGTTGTGTAACCCTTACTATTATTACGATGAGGGGGCAGGTAGGGTATTATTTTTGGGCATTGGTAATTAGGGGCTTAGGGACATCTAGCCACTGGGGGGGGATGGTAGGGGGGTAGTGAGATATTGATAATTTATATAGTATTATTAGCCTGCACCTGCTCCCAATAGGTGGGTGGTAGGGGGACACCATTCACCAGGTCCCTCTGACATTCACTTTTGAGAAAGCTGTAAGTGAAAAATGTCAAGTAGAGATTAAGGCTTGCCTACAAGGACTGGTTTTATTTATAGTTCTTTTTACTATATAGTTCACTTTTAAATAGTTTTATTCATTCTGTTTATTAATAAAGATTCTGTTTTAATACCCAGTCACTCTTGAGCTCCTTATACTCTCACCATCACTGTTCCGGATCTACATATATCACTAGGTGGGGATTGTTGCACCTAAAGCTACATACACTAGAGCAGGTCATTGCTCTAGCAAATGTAAGTAGGTCTAATATTATTTAATTATCCTACTTTTACATACGTACTGTACCACTGGTATACATCCTTATTTTTTTCATAGGATGAACCGCACTACCTTCCACTACCTGGAAAACGTGAGTGCCCCTTTGGAATATATCTTTATCACCATATTATTCATAACATATTGCACTATCATTGTATTTTTATTTCCTTTTTTCTTAAGAGTAAGAAACATAATTGTGAAGTCTGCTGCTACCTTTGTATGTATGATTTTATTATAATAATTCTTCCACATATGTTGCCCAATCTCCACCTGGTAACAATTTGACTGACTGCAACTAAGTTTTGATCCAAACTATATGATTCAAGGTTTCATATGTGGCCATCTTGAACTTCTGTGTCTTACTCTGGTCTCTATGAGGATGCTACTGTTACCTGTTGTCTGGCATCCAAGGTGCCAGGGTAAGTCTTCTGTATAGGGGATAATACTTACAGGGATGGTGAGAAGAGTCCTTTTAGGTGCTTCTAAGGGTATTCTTTGACAAAATCCATAATCTGTAGTATGGAGGCTGGTATCCAAGCCCTTACATTAGCCAGGGGAATGGAGGTTTTTTGCTACATATGTAAATGGCACTGATTTCACACCACGAGTGACATCACAAGAATGAGAGGGATGTTTATATCAAGTCTCATCCAAAGTGAAGCATGAGTTACCTCTACTAGGATGCGTCATGTTATTAATGATGCTGAACGGGTGTGACTCAGTACTTAGATTTGGGAATTCATCAATAATGACGCCAAAATTAGGTGACCCTGAATTAGTATAACTGTTCATGCATTTACAGCATTTTGCATAACAATTGACAACAGAATGGAGTGAAACAACCCGAACATGTGACAAGACGCAGTCCAGAACATTTGTGTTCTGAGGACTGCCTGTCCCTGTGAAAGACGTCAAGATGGGGAGAGTAGGCAGTGCGATATGACAACACCCACAAATACTTCTTGCAAAGTGTAATCTGCCCTCTCCCCATCAGCCATTCTACTCACTTTAATTTTAATTTCAGCATTTGGTGTTCCCCTACCAACTCCACTAATTCTTCCTTAAATTTTTTCCCAGTAATCACCCCTTAACTGTACCAACAACTGCCCCAAACACCCAGCTAACAAAAGTGCCCTTAATTTGTAGCTATAACTCATATGAATTGGACATGTTACTCCTCTACAGTAAATAACCAAGTTAGAGATTTTATTGTTATATCGTGCAGGCTTGTTGCACAATCTTATATTTTAAATATAGATAGATAATAGATGCCAATACAAGGAGGATAAAAGACATCTGTCCTGTTTATGAAGATGATCTCTTTATGGATGGAAATATAAGATCTATCTTCGAAGAATAAAATTAAGCCTTTGGAAAATGGCAATTTTGAACAAACTTTTTTATTTCTTTACGTAATACTACTTAAATTCAGAGTTTTACAATTGTATTCTCAATACTAAAAATACTAAATAAAATAAAATACTAAACATGCTAAAATTATAAAAAGTATAAACATTGTTTCACTGATGTATATAAAAATTGCTTCACTGTTGTATAATGTTAAAATTCAGAATGGAATGTGTTAAACTACTCTGGTCAGAACGCTCCTCTTTTATATATTCACCGCCACTGCTGTTAAACTTCATTAATCTTATGCTCTCCTCTTTTTATGGTTGTTATTGTTTGTTGCAATTCCAAAATTTTGTGGAAAGTGTGATTTAAATGTTGTTCAGCCCTACATGTTTTATTTAAAGGGGCACTGTCACTACTCAGGTCCCTCTGTGTTTCTCTCCCCTTCATTCCCTGTCCCTTAGTGTTCCTCTCCCCTCCATTCCCTGTCCCTTAGTGTTCCTCTCCCCTCCATTCCCCGTCCCTTAGTGTTCCTCTCCCCTCCATTCCCTGTCCCTTAGTGTTCCTCTCCCCTCCATTCCCTGTCCCTTAGTGTTCCTCTCCCCTCCATTCCCTGTCCCTTAGTGTTCCTCTCCCCTCCCTTTCCTGTCCCTTGGTGTTCCTCCTTCCTTCTGTCCCTTAGTGTTCCTCTCCCCTCTATTCCCTGTCCCTTAGTGTTCCTCTCCCCTCCATTCCCTGTACCTTAGTGTTCCTCTCCCCTTCCTTCTCTGTCCCTTAGTGTTCCTCTCCCCTCCATTCCCTGTACCTTAGTGTTCCTCTCTCCTTCCTTCTCTGTCCCTTAGTATTCCTCTCCCCTCCCTGTATTGTTCCTCTCCCCTCCATTCCCGTCCCTTAATGTTCCTCTCCCCTCCCTTCCCTGTCCCTTAGTGTTCCCCTCCCCTCCCTCCCCTCTCCCTTAGTGTTACTATCCTCCCCTTACCTGTCTTAGTGCCCCCCATTTCCCATAATGATCCTCCCACCACCCCCCCCCTCATAGTGTTCCTCTTCCTTCTCTTTTAGTGGTCCCCCCTACCCCAGTGTTCCTTTTCCCTCCCCTGTACCTTAGTGCCCCTCTTAATGTTCCTCTCACTCATTGACACGCTGGCCCTGCTGACAGACACACACACTCACTGACAGACAAACTCATTGGCCTGCTATTGCCCAACATACTTAATTTGTTTAAAAGCAATAATAATAGTGTAAGTGAATAAGTTGAAGATTGAAGAATGCAAATTTCCATAGTTCATTTTTATTTTAAGTGTAAACACATAAATTAAATTACAAAATATTTGTTTTTCCATAAATGTCAATTATAAATTTGAAAGACCAACAGTAATATGAGGAAATGTCTCATATTCTTTAAATTAAGCTCGTATTTGCCACCTGGACCAGAGACATTCATCAGATGTTCTTGCAAAAAGTGAATTTCTTCATGACTTTTAAAAATAATACATAGAAAGCCACAAAAATAGGATACTTAAGTTTGTGGGTTCTTATTTAAGTGCTGCAGTAAATACAAAGAGATGCATCCTGTGCCCCATGATGTTAAATAAAGGCACACAACCAGTCTTACTCACTAAAATAGGGTACACAACCTTCAGCACTCCAGATCCTGTGGACTACATCTCCCATAATGCTCTTACAGCTGCAATGCTGGCAAAGCATCATGAAAAATATACTCCATATGCACTGCCGAAGGTTGCCTACCCCTGCACTAAACTGTCAATTCCTAGGTATTTACCAGGGGATTGTGCAATTTAGACTAAAATAGTCAACCTGAAAAAAATGGTTTAATTAAGCAATGTGTCAAACTCAGCTACTATGATCTTACATTTGAGTTAAAATGCTGAATTTCGGACAGTTCTCACTTTATTGAATAATCCAACTAGGGTTATAACCTCTGTTTTACATCATTGAAATAACCCTTCATGAGTATGAGAAGAGTGCTGAGTTTCAGATGGTAATTGGTTATATTGCATCATTGAACCATTTCAATACAGATTCTTTGTTTTCATCCACCCATCTGATGTTTGCCTTCGTCTTCTCAATGGCTTGTTCCAGTGTCCGTGTGGCTGTCCCAAACCCAATATCCTGGTTGTCACTTTTGAACTGCTCCAACTAAGACATAGAAACATAGAGTTTGATTGGCATATTCACAAGAAAGACTGTAAAGCATGCCATCTCTGTACACAAGGACCTTGATTTGGCTCTCCTTAGCATCAGGGAACTTGTGTGACTACAATATCTGAATATGAAACTTGGACACCCTGGGACAATAGCAATTAAGCAAGACTGTTATGCATGACCAAAATTCCCCTTAAATCATTAGTGATTTCACATATTCTGGAACTTTATACAAGTTGGGCAGAAAAATATATTAAACTTAAAAAAAAAAAAAAGACCTCTAAATATTGTCTTTATACTGTTAAGTGGCATTATAGCATTGCTATAATGTCACTGCTTTGAAAATAGAACTGATACATTATGGAGCTCTTTATGATAATGAGCTACATGGCAGTTATCTGTAGTTATCTATGCTGTATAGAGGGGGTTACAGCTAATGTTAGGGTTGTTTAGGGTAAAATCAGTTTAGGATTGGGGAATGTTTAGAGTTAAGGGGATTTATTACTATTATAAGGGAGGGTGGGTTGAGGCTTAATGTGGATTTAGGATTAGCGAGTACCTGTCCTCAAGTCCTTTAACTCCTATCACATAGCTTTTCCAGACTGAGATTAATAAGAGTTACAGTCCACAGCATGTAGTCTAACCCTATGCCTCTGAACCGTAGACCTTTTTGTGACAGCATTTAAAATATCACCTTGTTTAACCACACTGTATTGGTGTTGTGTTCTTATGAACTCAGCAATATTTCTACTTTGTTCAAAAGGTGCTTGGCATTTAAACTACGCGATGCTCTCTGCAAGATTTCTCAATATGCATTAAATGCACATTAAGGAAATCTCTATTAAGCTTTTTACTAATCTACTTGATGGATGCTTTGAAGTCTATGTGAGGCATCATTTCAGCAAACATTGCAATCACAGAGTGTAAAAAAGTCAGCAGTATGATGATAATAAATTAACTGGCCCTCATGTTCCTAAAGACCCCGTTGTACCTCCTTTGGGCCGTATTGGTGTACACATGGCCTTTATTTATATATTTATTTTATTTATAAATGCATTTATTTATCAAAAAGTCTCCTAGTAACTTCCAAATTGACATCAAACTCCTCTCTGTGCTAAGCTGACCCACATACATAACTATGTTATCAAACCCTTGTTCTAAAGGCGATGGGTAGCGTTAGAAGTAAGAACACATAAAACATTATACACAATTATCTTAACATTGCAACTATATATACTGTAGTAACTCGCTCCACATGTCCTTAAAAACAGCATTTATATTTCTTACCTGCTGTAGTTCATACTCAGTGGAGAATCGGCGAGTCACACGTTCAATCAAGTTACCGAAAGAGAAAGAAGAGCCTCCAAACCTAAATAGGGATAATTAAAAAAAAAAAAAAAAAATGAGGGAAGACATCTTCACAATTTATCAGACATTATAATAACATTCACATCAAGTTATTTAAAATAATCAAATATACTGATATATAAAGCAAATTCATTCGTGATAAACTGGAAACAGAATATTCTCAGACTTACCCCTGCCACTCATGTACACAAATAATGAAGAAAATTATTTCTCGTTTTCTCTAGCACTCCATTTCAACATATTTCTCTGCACAAAGCACCAGCCTGCCCTTTCTGCAGAGGAACTGTAAATGGTAACCTACTCCTTCAGCAGCCTTCACAGTTTGTTTAAACAGGATCCTTAACGTTTCTAGCTCATGTGAGTCAAAGTGTCTTATTGCATATTTTGTCTGCTGATCGTACACCACTATGGTATAGCTTGGTACTTTAATTATTACGAATTAATAATAAGCCAAATTACAGGAATTTATTCTAGCAGTCATGAAGAGATATGCAATTGTACTGAACAAAACACAGGACTGTTTATACTAGGAAAGTTCTTGCATGTTTGAACATTAGAGAACACGTTAAGCTTGAAAAAAAAGCTCTGTTTTTCAGGTGAAACTTTGTTCCCTGTTGTTCAATAAACCTACCTTGACCTTTCCTAGTATACGGAGTCCTATGTTTTGTTGGATATGTCAGTGGTTTCTACTAAGGGCTTGAGGCACTTAGGTGTTCCTTCTTATGTGTGCTTTCTCATACCTTTGTCTAATTGTACTTAACGATCAATATTATTTTTATATTTTGATGGCATTTATTTCAAATTAAATTCCCCCAAATAATCAAGATTCTTACACATTCCCTAAAACAGAGTTTTCATTATTTTTTTTTGCCTTCCTCTTTTTGTCACACCTCATTTATGTAAAATGGTAGAAATTAGTTTTATATTCTATGTTAATATATAAGACCATGTATGAAATATTGTGATACAAAAGATCACATTTAATTTCTTAAAAAAACAAAAAAATAGAAATGGACTAAAATTGGTCATTTGGATTTATTGATGAATAGCAATCTCTACATGAAATTGCTATTCTCCAAATTCCAACCCTATAAATTGTTTTTTTGTGTGTGTGTGGTTTTTTTTTGTGTTTTTTTAAACAAAGAAGAACTTAGTAGTGAATGGGATGAACAGCTTCAAATGATGTGGCTTCATACCTGTGTCTGTTACCTGCCCCTTTCCCCCTACCCCCTCCCCCCCACCACCACCACCACCACCTGCACGCCATTCCCTGAGAGGTTTGAACTTGACCATATTACACATACTTTTTTTGAAAATGCAAATCTAGCCACTCTAATGTCTACTTACTGGCTGAAGATGATACTCCATTTTGCTCTCACAAAGTCCCAAGCAAGACTCTGTCCAATCACGTTATTGCAAACGTTGCTTATTGTCGTCACAGTGTCTTGTCTGCGAATTTTAGTGGTATCTATAGAATATTCCAGGAGTCTGTAGGAAAAAAATTGCAGGATTAAAACAATGTTTGCCTTTCTAAGATTTGAGCTACTGTTAGTATAATCTCTCATCCTCAGAAGGTTGCTAATGCTCCAAGGCAGAGGTCAAAATTAAATAAATCCTGGTTCTAGATTGCTTCCACTTGTCATGGAGGCTGGAGAAGAAGTATTCCCATCTTTTTTTTTTCACAGTTGCTCTATAAAAATATATTCATTTAATATTTTAAACCTAGACATTTTACCACTAGACTTAAAATGTTGCTTTTCTTATTTTATTTTATCATTATTCATTTCATAAAAAGGGTTACACTAACCAAGAAACAATATTATAAGAAAACTTTTTTGTTTTTGGTCAGAGTAGCCTTCCCTATACTGCTCCACCCTCCCACCTCCCACCCATAAAACAAAAAACAAAACTACTTACCTTTGTTCAAGCACCAAGACCAAGTTCTCCTCATAGAATGATACTTCTGTTGTGCATGCTGGTAACAGATGCCAAATTTGCATAGAATTCACATTCTGGCCCAGTGACAGAGGTGGACATATACCTCTGGCAGCAGACCAGTGATATTCTATATGTTTATTGTGAAAGCTATGAAAGTGAAGTGGTCATGGCGCTTTGAGTAACCCTTTAAAGTAGCTTTGTCAGTAGAGAATATTTTTATGATATGCTCATAAAGACTGTATTGGAATTGAACTCCCAATGTATTTAAAAGCTATCACAAGACAAAGTAAGGGCTAGGGAAACTGTTGTCATTTTGCAGGTTCCTCCACAGACATTAGTGTTGTACTTTCCTGCAAGCACAAGAGTACAGCATTAACGTGGACTGCTGGTGTGTGAACCACCAGGAGTTGAAGAAACAAGATGGTGCTTCACACACCAGCCACTGCACCCAAAGAAACAATCTCACCTTCGAAGGTTTTTGCGAAACAATGCATATTGTATCCCCTTTAGTCCATCTCCTCCCCTCTACAACATTTTTGGTCTCTTACCCTCCAATGTCTGTATCTTACTTTCCTTTTGTGTCTCTTACCACCTTTTGCAACCTTACCCCTTTCTGTATCTTATTCCCTTTTATGTTTCTTATTCCATTTTGCCCACTTTTGTCTCTTACCGCCTTGTGTCTCTTCCCCATTTTATGAGGACAAAGAGGATCCTCTACCTCGTAAAGCGAGACCACTCAACGTAAAAGTGACCAGCGGAAGAGGGGGTGCACTCACCTTCTTTCTGTCACCCAAGATGGACTGGGGGCACATCAATATATTTGGGCACTGAGTCCTACGTCCTACCAGGGCGTCCTAACATGGCTGCTTGTACCACTTTACAATAGTGCCAGCCTTGCTCATCATATTAAGCACAAGGTTTTCTTTTTTAAAGAATTGTATATATAGTGTATTGCTGTAGTTTCAATGTCTATTTTAATAAACTTGGTCTGTTGTAGATATAGACCATTCCTGATAACACCTATTGGGCAATTTATGTTTGTTTGTTTTTTGGAACACTTCTTTGTATTACGATTTTACTGATTGAAAATGCAGTTTCCAATTATTAACTGTTATAGAAAAAATAATACAAAATGAGAATAAAACCATTTTTTAAATTTTTTTCTTATTTTTTTCTATTTATGATAACATCCCCTTACTGATGTTTTTATACATAAGATTAATTTGTGGACAATATGTTCCCTTATTACAGTATTAGGCAGAAATTTAGGTTTTATACGATCAACCCGTAGATGCTGTTTGTGTCTGCTGACAATAAAGTTGATCTTGCGTTCCGGCATGGTGTGCGCATGCGTAGGAGACGACGGAGGGATGTAATGACGTTCCATCTTTACGTTGCAGCACACGCGCAGACACATGGAACTGATGCAGCCCAGCGTATTTAAACTTCAAACTCCGAAGGGAAATTTAGAATTTCCTGAAGAAGTTTTTATAGACGAAAAGCGTTGAGCATGTAGGAAGTTACCCTGGAAAGGTTACCAGCACAGTGTGATCCCAAGAACTCCAGCATCCAGAGAACGGCTGACTGTGTTGGAATTCCCTACTTTTGTCGACCACTTGTATGTGGAGAAGTCTATCTGGTATCCTGAATTTTCCACTATTGACTGGTATCCCTGGGGATACAGCCTATTTGAGGCACTAAGCGCATTTGCACATATTGATTCCATTCAATTGTGCCACTGATTTTGTGATTGTTCCATTTGTTTGTTTTTAACTATATTTGACAATTAAAGTTTGTACTATGATCTTTTATTCTTCTCCTTTCAAAGTTTTGTACATTTCCAAAGATTTTGGTAACTATATCCACTCTATATCTTGTGAATTGTCGCCCTGTTCTGTATTTAAACTTTGGAACATTGCACATACTGAGTTATATTTAATTTTGTGCTGGGGACTTGTTGTATTCCTAACACATGTGACTTAGGCAGTTCAGAACTCCGGGTTCCCTAATGTCAATTCTGCATCTGTGTCATGAGTGACAACAGACATAAAAATCTTTGTGCAGAGCCCCTGCAAGAGGAAGATAGTTCTATACTTTGTCCCACACTGTGGGGTCTCTCTACTGTCTCCCTCCATTCAAGATATGGGTGAATTCCTCCTTCCCTCCTCCACCCACTCCCCCCTCCAATTTTTATTAGGGTTGGAGTAACCCTTTAAAATTAATGAAACACTGACATTAATTTTTACATCAACACATAATTTATATGTTATACTCTGCCATCTTGTAATTTTTCTTTAATTCAGGTATATTGAATATTTGTTTTTAAAGAAATGTAAGTACACAATTTTAATAATGTTTAATTGAAAGATTCTAAATTCTGGGCATGATGAATAACACTTGGAAACCTGTATTATTTAGTAACAGTTAGTGGCATACACTTTGGAGATGAACATGTTTCTTTTTAGTTCAGATTAAAATATTAATTGTATCATCACAAAGCACTTGCACTATGTAGGAATTCAGATCTCACCTGTTGAGTAACCAGGGCTCCTTGGTGCAGGCCAGAGCAGCCCTCAGTTTGTCTGCTTCTTGTGCAATGTCTGTTGAATTAAATTTTTCCCATATAAAATCCCATTCTGCTTCTCCTCCTTGAGCTACAGCAGTACAGTAAATGGATGATCTCAGATTTGGATGAATGCTATTATATACAAACACAAACAAAATGCAAAGCATGTTAAAGTTATCTGGTGAATTTACTCTAAATTAAAAAGAAATATCTATTTTTGTTATTAACCTGTTCAAAATATAGACTTTTTTAAAAAAAGAACAAGAACAGATGAAGAAAAAGAGTATGCGAGAAATTTTGCTTTAGAGAATTGTGCTCTAAACATCTGATCTACAACTAAAAATGTGTTTTACTGAACTAGATTAAATTTTTATTAACAGATAAAAAATAAACGGTAAAATCCCTGATCCCCATAATACATTAAATTGAAAAAAAATAATTGAATTAATAAAAATGAGTTATCAAGCAATTAAAGAAACAAGTCAAATAATTGTCCCTTTTCAAGATTTACAAAGGAGAAAGATACACTTGACACCGTTCCAAGATAGTTCTTTGGGCAGCATTGATAATCCCCTAAAACCTTATTAAGAGGAAGGGCTCTGTTTTTTTCCTCACTTTTCATGGGGTTAATACTGTTCTGTATCTATTCCCTGGCCTGTGGTAAAGGAACTGTGACTCCTTATAAAAAAAAAAAAAATGCAAAAGGAGAAGTCCTGCAACTCTGCTTTGTATACTGAAATATACAACTATTTCTATATTAGCAAATACTCATAAATAATCGTATCTATAGCACCAAATTAGCACACATATAATCAGGCACAAAACAACTTATGATAAAATAACCAATTATATATGTGTACTATTATACTGTTCTATATAATTATTTTACATTTTATCTTTGATTTTATTGTTTTTTTTTTTTTAAATAAAAGTACTTTTTTTATTGGACCTGATCTTCTGCTGCTGAATCCTGAGCTACATATCCTTGGTGGGGATAATACCACCCAAGCCAATTGGATTGAGCAAACCTCAATCTGCTATGAAGCATGTGAGTAGGTTTTTATTACTTTTATTGTTCTTTACATTCATAATGGTACAAAGTTTTAATTTTATCGTATGCACTATTGTGTTTTTTTTTTTATTTCTCTATATTTTCAAGGAAGAATATCCACATCACCTATATCATAAGGTGGGGATCATACTACACACATTACTTTTGGAGCCAATACTTAGGCTCCATAATATGTAAGTGTACACCTATCTACAAATCTACCGCTGCTTATTAGCTCAACATAATACACTATATACTTTTATTTTGTCTCTTATATTTTTTTGAGGCTACCCATCAATATAAAGAAAACTTGAAGACTCTGTAGCACAATATATCCATAGGCTGGGATCATTATGCCCAGGCGCGCAAGTCGGAGTTGTATTTAAGCTCCCTGAAAGTGTGAGTGTACAATTTTAAATTTTCCTTACTCTATCAAGAGGTTTTCTAACTTACTACACTATCAGTCCTTTTTATTTTTCCTTTTTTTTTGTCATTACATACATTCTTTAAAGAACACTTCAGGTGTTACACCTTCTTTTCTTGTCTTATTCTAAATTTTATCGGACAAGAGAGACTATATCAGTATCGTACAAGCGCTGAATTTTTTCTGTTTTTATATATATGATATATGATTATATATCTTCCTTGCCCATTTGTGCTCTTATTAACCCTTGAAATAGTCACTCCATAATTAAGTCATGGTGTATGGAGCTTGTGACATCATATTTCTTATAACTGGAGGGATTTACAATACTTAATGAATCTTTATACCACCCCACATTTTGCATTGAAGTATATAATCTCACTGATACATAAACTATCTTGTAAGGTGTGTATATGTATTGTATTCACAACAGGAGGACATAGTCTTAAATTAGAGGGGCAAAGGTTTAAAAACAATATCAGGAAGTATTACTTTACAGAGAGTGGTAGTGGATGCATGGAATAGCCTTTCAGCTGAAGTGGTAGAGGTTAACACATTGAAGGAGTTTAAGCATGCGCGGGATAGGCATAAGGCTATCCTAGCTATAAGTTAAGGCCAGGGGCTAATTAAAGTATTTAGAAAATTGGTCAGACCAGATGGGCCGAATGTTTTTTTTATCTGCCATCACATTCTATGTTTCTGTGTTTCTATTTCTATCATACAGTTTGTATGCATTGAGCACACATTGACAATATTGGCTGAAAGGTCTTAGCTTTCTCCAGATCTGAAAGTAGATTGGCTGTGAATAGGGTAAATTCTGAAGTATTAGCATCTTAAGTAAGAATTATCTTTTACATTTATTTTTGGTTTGCAGGTGTGTTCATAATAATTGCATTAAAATTGGGGACCACCATGGAGTATCTTTTTAAGGAACAGTGACATAGCATACAGCCATCACAATTTTGTGATTCCATTACTGATATGGAATGTTACTCATTTAAAAACATTGCCTCTTTATAGCCAAATTGACATTAAGTGTTTTATTAACAGCTGCATGGAATATCAATTAACTCTATTGAGTTAGGGTATGCAGTATTGCTATGTTGATAATCATTGCATAGTGTCGAGGTAAAATGCCCTTCTACGACCTTCCTGAGTGTCCTGCGCACGTCAATCGGGAAGTACCGCCTCTTTGTTCTCTTCTACCTTCCCGATTGGTGCATTCGGGAAGTCCAGATGCAAATGCCGATCAAGACGTGAATGGTCTAAAGCTGCCTAAAAGAGAGGGATGCTGCATGCTCTTAAACTAACAGGACGCTTATTTCTTCTGGCAGCGTCACATCATCACTGCAACCCTGAACCCACACTTTGTGGGGTCGCAGGGGTAACGTGGAACCAATCAGTGTCCACCTCAGGATCAAATAAAGTTTTAACACCATTGTCATTGCCCTGTCATAGTTTCCTCTTGGTTCCTTGTATAGTGTGTTATATGTTTCAGTTTTTTTCTGTTATCCTGACCTGGCTAGTTATATAATTTTCCATATTTCAAGTATCAGAAATTTTGCCTATTTTTATGTTTACGCTTTCTGTCTTTTTTTACCTTAAACATTCTAAACTGTGGCAATAAGTCCTTTCTGCTTTTGTATTCTTGAGCTATACTTGTATGTTGGGTAGTGTAGCCTTGATGCATAGATTCTACTTCAACAAGATCTTGAAAATGACTTTCCTGTTACTGGTCACTAAAACCAGAACCAGGACTGTCAGCTGGACAAAATATTAGTAGATAATAGATAATTAAATCAAAATTGCCATCAATATGTCGGAATATAGAGAGGGTTCATACGTAGATTCAAGTGATTAAAATAGCCTAAATGGCTCTTCTCCTGTCTAAAGGACTCTTAGACGTAAAGAATCTATTTGAGACTCAGGACTTTAATATAATCAACCATAGTATGTCCATGTCAACAGTAAAAGCGGTTGTGGAATGAGCCTTTAAATTAACTCCTGTAATCTAGATGGAAAAGACAATCAGTCAAGGAGGAACTTTGAATATTGGCTGTATATAAAGTAACACTTGTAGCAAAGCCCGCTGTATCAGAAAAGCTACAATAAGAGTGTAGTTAAGCAATCAGCAATTTAGGATAACAGCATTTAGCTGGATACCAAGTAACATATAATAAAAGGAAAAAAGTCTACATGAAAATTCGTAGATTAATCACAAAATATGTCATAAATGATAAATCTTAAGTTAGTGGTTTCCTAAATCGCTATGGGGTACAAAGAGTATCTGTTGCCCCCTCAAATACATACAGAGCCAGTCCAGATTCCTCAATCAAATAGATAATTCCAATCTAGATAGCATATCAGGAGTGACAGGAGGAAAAGGTGAAAAATTAGGAAATAATAGTGCTAATGTGTAGAACCATGCTTAGAATGCTGGTTACCTACACATCGTGAAATAGTGCCCTAGAAGTGAAAATAAAAAGTGAGTGAAAGTGAAGGAGAAAAACCTCCTTCAACCCGACGCGCGTTTCGGTGCTGTGATGCACCTTCGTCAGGGGCTGAATTCGTTATGGACCCTAGACCTTGTTTAAATACCCCTGGTATTGTAACTGTTGAGAGGATTCCACCAATCAGGGTTCCTGTGTGGACCGTCAGTTGGCGCCAAAATGACGTCAGAATATGCTAATTAGCTGTTTAAATAAAGAAAAAAAGAAAAAAAAAAAAGGAGAAAGAAAACTCCAAACAGGGTTAAGTCCACCTCTACATTGTGTGGTTTATATTTAACCCTGTATGTACTCATTGGATGGAGTGACTTGCTTCATAGAATAGGGAAAGGACGAAGGTGAATATATCTGTGTAAATTTTATAGTCAGAGACGAATGATTCATCAAGAAATTTATATCATGTAAAGTCAGTGTATTGCTATCACAAGGCATTGTTTGAGAAGTAGACGGTTCATCATGGGTTATCTGGACGCCTGTGGGATCATGAGAATGGGTAGAGAGGCTTTGAGCGAAAAACCTCAAAAAAGTGAAAATAAGGGATTTTAACCCTCGCTCAGCCATGGGGACCTAATACCTATCCCAGGATATCATAAGGATTATATAAATATGGGCGGTCAGGTTAACTGTACTTCCTATTAGGGTAATGATCATTTCATTATCAAGCCTCATTCTCGATTTACGGGCGGAATTAACCCCCGCTATACTGTTCTTAGCAGTCATGTGAAAATAGTAATAGCTGAGCTTATACCCAAAATTCCCATGTGCGGGTATTATCAATGGCTTGATGATCGTAAATAAATTGCCAGATACTCATATACCAGTGTGTCTACATAAATACTAGGTGATAAATGCCTCTGATATACATAATCAAATATTGAGGCTTTTTATAATGCAGATAAATTCATCAGTTCTTATTCTTACTAAATGGAGATTAGTATTTCGGTAATCGAAATTTGTCCAGCCATTCCCATTGGCAGTATCAATTCAATTTGTCAATTTAGATGGCTGGTACGTTGTGCTAGTCCATATATCCAAATAGCGTGTATAGTATTATAAATAGGAGATGGAGGGAAAAGTAGCATACGATATATTAAATTTTAAGTAATTTATATAACTTTTAATGGATCATGTGTCATCATGGGATCAGAGTGATCGGTCATGTGTAAATCTTACTGGACATAATTT